GTACGTACCTACTTACGTTACTAAGTAAATAAGTAGTGTGTATATACTTACTTACTATATATATATATATATATATATATATATATATATAACCTTATCAAAAATAAACAAAATCCCACCTCAAATTCATGGAACATTGCAGTTTTGGTGATGGAAAACTTTCAAATTGATCATGTTGATCTTCACCATTTTAGTTGTGAAAAAAAAAAAAAGGAAGGATTTTAAGCTTTAAAAAATAGTATATATTATACATTATCTATATAGTCTACTTTCACGTGTTTATGGATTTGCAAGTTTCATAATGCGTGGAAATCGACTTTAGAGCCTATCATATAATTTTCCATGCGTCCCACATGTACCAATTTTTCACAGGTAAGAAACTACTTCCCCCTCATATTTTACAAAGATGCTCGATAAAATAATTTATAAAAGTTATGAGAAACTCAAAAAATAAGTTCAAGCTATTTATCGAGTTTCAAATTTTTCTTAAACCCGTGGAAAAATTATGCCAAAGAGAATTTGATCCCTAGAGTTAAGATTTCCATGTATCCATTCACAGCTAAGGCACTCCACTTATCTATTATTCTAGAACCTTCGCACATGCAGTAATGGATTAGGGGCAAAATGGGTACCCTTTTCCAACACGTCTCATTATTAAAAAAAAAAGACTATCCAATACAGTTATTATATAGGATTGGCATATGAGAATTTAGCACTTCACAAACTTCTCAATCTAAACATAAGTAAAATACGTATTCTTTCGCGTTACCCACTATTAGACATATCTTTGATCTCAACAAATGATGACTTTAAAAAATCTTCAGGTGTTTTAAGTCTCAGCTACAAAGTTCTATCCCAAGCCTACACTATCAAACTTAAGTCAAGTCATAGGGCACTAGAATGTACTCCAGATTTGGCACTCCCAGCTGTTGATGGGGATAGAGATGCATGGGAGATGAAATTTGTCAGCTATTTTCAGCATTTATTTACCAAGGATATGGTTTTTACTCCTACATTGCATGGGTTGAATTTTCAAAAGTTGTCATTGGAAGAGGCTTGATCATTGGAAGGATGGGCATCTGAGGAGGAGGTGAAGCGAGTTGTTTTTGCTTTGCCGGGAGATAAGGCTCCAAGACTTGATGGATTCCATCTTAGGTTCTTTCAAACATTCTAAGATGTTATGAAAATGGAATTGATGATGATGGTTAATGAGTTTTTAGAAAAGGGTGTTCTCAATAAAGCAATAAATTCAACATATATAACGCTTATTTCAAAAAGTGACTCTATTTCAGGGATATTGGATATTCGCCCTATCAGCCTGTTAATAAGTATATATAAAATTATTACTAAGATACTGACTGAAAGATTGAAGAAGGTGTTGCATAGAGTTGTGGTGGGTCCACAATCAGCATTCATTCAAGGGAGAGTTATTACTGATGGGGCTCTCATTGCTCAGGAATGTATTCATTCAAAGAATTTATTGGGGGAACCTGGTATTTTGTTAAAGTTGGATTTGGAGAAGGCATATGATAGGGTAGACTGAGATGTGCTTTTAGAAGTATTGATATGCATGGGTTTTAGGGAAACGTGGTGCGATTGGATAAGGGGTTGTCTAGTGAGCACCCATTTTTTTATTCTGGTGCAATGAAGCTCGAAAGACTTTTTTAAAACCTCGAGAGGGCTAAAACAAGGTGATCCCTTGTCCCCTTTTCTTTTCACCATAATGGGGGAGGCTTTCAGCTGTAGCATTGGTAATGTGGTAAACAGGGGCCGGTTTAAAGGGTTCAAGGTCTCAGCTAATAGTCAACAAATTTCATACCTTCAGTATGCTTAGGATATGCTTCTCTTTTGTAATGCATCTATAGAACAAATTATGAACATTAGAATAATGCTTTTGTGCTGTGAAATGGGGTTAGGTCTCAAGGTGGATTTTGAGAAGACTTCTATTATTGGTGTGACATATGAGAATGGAATCGTGAATCATTTAGCTAATATTTTGGGGTGTAAAGTTGAGGCATTTTCCATTAGGTACTTGGGATTGCCATTCTCCGACTGTCTGTTTGGGATCCCGTGATTGAAAGGATGCATGCCAAATTGGATTTGTGGAAGTCGAAAACTCTATTTCTTGGTAGCAGGACGACTCTTATTAAGGCATCACTTTCTAATTTTCCTATGTTCCTGATGTATCTACTAATGATGCCAACTTCGGTCTCAATGGTTATTGAAAGACTGATGAGAAACTTCCTTTGGGGATTAGGTGAATTTGGAAAGAAGTATCACTTGGTGAGTTGGGATAGAGTGTGTACACCGATTTCTGAAGGAGGCCTTGGAGTTAGGAGAGTAAAGTATGCTAATTATGCTTTATTAACAAAATGATGGTGGAGATCTATGGATGGTGAGGAGGCACTATGGAAAGTGGTTATTAAAGATAAGTATGAAGAGGATAGAGATAGCTTGTAGTTGAGGAATAATAGGAGTTCGAGGTTGCAGTCAAGGGTTTGGGAAGGTGTTATGCAAAATAAAATGTTCATGTTGAGTTGTTCGAGATGGGAGATGGGGGATGGTCTTAGGACTCCACTCTGGCATGGGAAATGGATTGGGGAGATTCTGTTAAGGTATTATTTTTCTCTGATCTATAATACATCATCTAACCCTATGACCAAAGTAAGTAAGGCATACTGCAGGGAGAGGGGAATTTGGGATATAAAGTGTACATATAATAGGGTTAGTGATGAATTTATCTTGAAGATGGAAGAGTTACTTAGGCTTTTGGAAAATGAGAAGTTACATCAAGACTTTCTTGATGACTTGGTGTGGGAGGATGAAAGTGATGGGGTCTTTTCTGTGAAATCAGCATATAATCTTCGATTCCATGAGAGGATAAGGTGGAATAGGGACTCGTTGCATAAAATATGGTCTTGGAAGATTCCACAAAAAGTGAAGGTGTTTCTTTGGGTGCTATTTCAAGGGAAGTGCTTGATAGTTGATAAGCTTATGAAGAGAAGGAGGATAATGACAAATATTTGTATGTTATGCAAGGAGTGTGATGAAAGTGGTGACCACTTATTCTTACCGTGCCCTTTCACTTATCATATATGGTGTTGGTTTCTCACATGATGGGAATTGCAGGATCATTACCCCAAAGCTACATCAATATTATTTACTACATGTCTTTTGATGGGCTACCAAAGATTGGAAACTTGATCTTCACGATCAGCAGGGCAGCAATCCTTTAGGAGATCTGGTTGGAAAGGAATAGAAGAGTGTTTGAAGGGCTGGTAATGGAGAGGGATTTGCTGAAGAAAAGAATTCAGCATACAATTTGGAGTTGGTTCTCTATTACAAAGGAAGGCTTTGGGATCTCAAAGGTTGATATGGAAGTGAACATGAAAAATTTAATGATGCAAAACATGATGATGGCGAGGCAAGGGATGATGGATTGTTTCGAGATTAGGAAGTATAAAACTGAATTGCGATGGGAGCTCCTTTGGGAATCTGGGGCCACCAGGCTTTGGAGGTGTGGTAAAGAATCACCTTGGACAGTGTATTTTCTGCTTTGCAGGACCGTGTGGTATAAAAACAACCAATGAAGTGGATCTGATTGCGGTGCAAAAGGGGCTCCAAACTTTAAAAGATAGAAGCTTACATGAAAGATGTGTGATAGAATGTGATTCCCTAAATGTGGTTAATTGATGTAATTGTATGTCTAGACCTCCTTGGAAGTTAAGGTCGGAATGGATGGAAGTAGTAGAATTGAGTCGGGATATGAAAGTGACATTCCAAAATGTTTATAGAGATGGAAATGAAATCGCGGATATTTTAGCTAAGAGAGGAGGTGCGATGCAAGATTTGATTGTTTCGGATGTTTTGATTAATTCATTGCATTATAATCTCTTTTGATTAATAAAATGATGGAATATTGTCACAAAAAAAAAAAAATGGAAGTGCTACAAGTCACGCCACGTCATCTATTATGAGTTCCGCTCAAGACCATATCCTTCATTTCAAATGGGCTTTCAAGTGCAGATGTGCCACACCTCGTTCTACCTGTAAACTAAGCTCCTACTCAAATTAAAATTAAAAAGGTTTGGTTTGTACAGAGCCGAGGCTCAAAACAATCAAATTAGAGCCTACCTTCAAAAGGTGTTGAGAAATGAGGCTTCAATTCTCAAAATATTTATGATAGCCGTAAAATATATTTTCATCTTTAACTATAGAATCTAAAGCTTCAAAAATAATGTATATGAAATAGATTTATGAAAACTTGAAAATCTTAAAGATTGACGGTCAAACAATGCGTTACAAGATGTACTATTTCCAAAACTTGAAATCCATTTTTTTCTCACGTCTATACATCTTGACGTCGAGATGATCAATTTGAAAATATTTGAGCATCAATACCACTTCTTATAGTGAAATTTTTGAAGTAGGCTTTAATTTGACCGTTTAAAGCCTCAGCTCTATATAAACTTTTTCCAAATAAAAATGTATCTTTAAAAACCACAAAACCCAACAAGAACTTTCAGTAGCATGATACGCCCTTTTTATGGAGCAAACCCATGCATTTGACATACACAAGTCCTTCCCTAAGTATTATTGAAACCTAGATAATATTTCTTCACCCAGTTTATCTATACTTAACTCACTCATCTTACCACTTGCATTTCAATTTTTTGAGTTGAATACTCACACCCTCTGTTGGTCTCACATTCGCGTATTTCAGTTATCACCTTATAGGCTTCTACCATATCTAATCTCTTGTGCTATTCCAAAATAGACTTTCATGCATCTTAATCAATGAGTTCTTTCTGTGGTATGACAGAGATACACATCAAAAGCACAGTCCTTATGGGGAACACTATTTATTTTCCATAAAGAAGGGTAGAGGAATTCCATCTCTGATTCAATTTGGTGACCTATATTTGTTTCGACAAACTGTCCGACTTCGAAAAGTACTCCATATATCATTAACAGAGCTAATCAACTTATGAACGTCCCATTCATGTGGGTTCCTGAGGAATCTTGACAGCTTCAGCTTCTATAAAAGCTTGTGTGATATAATTCATGGGATGCCTTGGACAAGCGACAGAAAGGATACAAAGATGTAATGCCATAAGTTCAATATGAGAAACAAGGGATGCCTTTTGACTTTTGCTTGGAGAACAGTTTGTTAAGCCCTCGTATGCAATGAGAAGGTTGGGTACCCAAAACGTTTGTATTCTGTGGATAAAATGCACAAATGCACGGGAGATAAAGATGCGATAAGTTGGATGGATCCTTATGTCATTAAAGGGAATCTCGTTCCTTGCTTTCTTCTTGTGAAACTCGGCGGCCATCATAGTTGGATAGGAAGAATGCACTCTGATTCTTTTGCGTGAACCTGTAAATGAAAAGAAAGTGACCTGACTTCAGTCAAACTGCTACATACCTTGATTGAAGTAATTTCTCTAGTATGGAATCTTACTGATATGTAAATATACACATGAATTCTAAAGAATAAAATGAGTGCATATGATGCATTGCTCCAGGCGAACTCATCCAATTCATTCAACGTAGTGACTTGTTATATTCAATATTAGTTGTAGCATAGTACCTATCAATTGAAAGTAACCGTATATAAAATTCTAGAGCAGAAAAACTTCAATGGCTATTGACCTTTCATGAAAACTCTTTAACTTGTAAAACTATGATGCTAACGCACATCTGACATGTAGGTTATGCTAATAAGTCTAACAAGCTATGCTCAAACTTAATGCCATTATGGGATCATTACAAGGCAGGCATTTGAATTTAACTAGTAGATTGCAAGCAAGTACTGAAGTGTGGAAGCTTTACTGAAATGGTCCTAGCAGAAGTATCTCATTACACTGGTTGTTTCATTCGGATTGTGCTATGTATGATGAAGATGTCAAGAGGAAGGCATCACATCATTCTCTGCTCAATTTGTCCAGTTAAAATAAGGTTTTCCAAACTTGGATCGGTCTCCACCGGATCACTTTATGGGCCAGTGGGAAGTCTTCACATGCATAATAAATTATAGACCCATAAATCCACATTTCATGGAACAGACATAAGCATGTGAACTGCTGTGGAGGCTTAGCATCTTGTAAAAAGGTTGCATTTGGGGGGTTTGAATTGGATGTGTTAGAGAACCAAAGATGCATTTATTAGTCTGTATCTTGTCCGACGAAGCATTTGTTACTGCTTTCATTTTGTTGCGACAACTATCTGAACCACATTTTAAATACACATAAAGAAGAAAAACAAAATGTATTTACAGGGTAGCCCATTTTGTCTATTTATGTCAATGGAAAAACAACTCCCTTTGCATTCATGGTAACTCTCAAGTATGAAAAGGTTATCAGTATTTCAACCTATTTTAGATACCCCATATGTATTCTACTTATCATGAACAGCTGATAATATCTTGTTTTTATCATACCCTTCATAGTAATATAAATTATAACAAGGCTATTATAACAAAGACAAGACTTTCACTACAACACTAACCAAACGCAGGGAAAAAAAAAGAAAGAGTTCTATACTAGTATGCGACCTATATCATGCAACAGTATTGCACTACCCAAGAATTCAGAGTGGTGAGGGGGTGTATGCTTGTGAGAGCCGCATGTTCTTTGAGATTGTAAAATTCACTTGAGCAAATCAGGAAAAATAGAGGTTTCCAAACGGCAATAGATAACTACCAAAATGGATCGCTCTAGCATATTACTTAAAAGATAATTGACTTTTTCCAAGAATGTTAATCTTTAAAAGAGAATTAACTTATTCACCTGGATGTTGCTTTGTAAGATGCATTTAGTCTAATTCTTTTGTGCTAGGGAGGGGAGTTATGACATTGATACACCTAAGCAAAAAGCCAACTACACAGCTCAGGGTATTGAAAAGAACTAAAGGAATGACCACTTATATTCATTTTGAAGTTGTCCCTTACTTCATACAGCACCTTAGTCACTTGCCGCATTTTCGCAGGATGTTTGTTGTAAAGTAGGAACCTTTAGGAATTTTTTACCTCAGATGACACCATGCATCCTCTTAGAAACCAAAGACGAGGCTCACTTTCTCAATCATGCAAATGGCATAAGAATATATATTTTGGGCCTTTGTAGTTGTTAGGGCATAATGGCTGTGCTACTATGGTCTTGGCTTCAATTCCTAGCTTACTTGAAACAGGAAAAGAAAATGCACTATCTTAACCTAAATAAATCAATCCAAAGAACTAAATAATAACTAAAGACATGAATGCATTCTTTAACAACCTAAATAAATAAATCGATCCAAGAAACTAAATAATAACGAAAGACATGAATGCATTGTTTAACAGAGTGAGCTTTTGTCCATAAGAAAGAAATAATGGAACTCAAATTCTAGTAAGATAACTCCTAAGATGAGGGACATAACCCTGCCTTGATTAGCTTACAATTTTCATAAGCTTTGTATTCATAATTAGACAATCAAATTAACATGCATAACATCCATTATGCCCATGCATGTAGAACTATTTAGTTTCAAAATCAACTCTGAAGAGCATATGAATGAGTCATAAATTAACTACGAATAGAATATCTCGGGAATAATATAAGATGAAAGATTATACGCTCTCAAAGGAGCATATCATCAATTCATTCCCACAGTTAAAACCCCATCTAAGAGTACTTTTTGGAACCTGAATTTTGGGTAAGTAACCTCGTCAATCTAGCAACCGACCTCATTAGAAAAAGAAAAAGAAAAGAATCATAAGCTTCCATATGTGCCTAATGTCCTGATGTTGTACAGAAACCCACTAACTTTTGGACAGCCAGATCCAAGTGTTTATCACATCAAATCCCAAATTTCTTCTTTTGAAAATATTCATCTTGTAATTCCAAAGTGGAATCCAAATTTCCATATTGAAAAATTCCTCCTATGTAGTTCATTTACCCAATGGATTAAGTGTATAGCATGCTCCCACAGGAGTACATAATACATGCTCACAATCTGATGTAAGATGGCTACTTTTTCTGCACAATCATGTCATCCATGTAAACATCGACTCTTGACACATGGCGAAACCAAGATATCAATGATATTTGACATATAGTGTGGAGGCAGAGTTGGTAGATCATTGTAGATTGCTCGACATAAATAAATAAAAACTATTTTTATTATTAAAACAGTAAGGGTGGTACAGAATAATTATTTGAGATGTACTTTGTTTTATTTGCACAGACTGTCTAGCAATCTTCCCCAACATCATAATCGACCATTAGGACAGTCTATTTCGAAATGGTTGGAATTTCGATTTCACTGTGATTGTTGTCCCTAAATACTCTTCATTGTTTACTAAAAACATTTGTATCTATCTACCTCTCAAGCTTGTTGGAATCCTTTTCTCTAGGAGATATTTCTTTTGCACCTTCTTACATATGCACAATCTTGCTTGAAGGTGTCTCTATGTTCTCTAAGATCTATGCACGACAAGCTAAAGGTAGCTGAGCTTGATAAGAAAAGGATGAGATATACCCATGGGTTGACCTGCTTCTTTGTAGGTGAGAACCAGAGGAATTATAATTATTTTGCATCATCATATTTGTATACAAGCCTGACCAAAATGCACTTATGAATGAAGGTGGAGAAAAAGTAGGAAGCTGTCACATGCTTGGAAGGAAATATCAGAAGATTCAGAACCAATCTTATGAGGCTCACTTGTGACATGCATAAACAATGACAAAACACCCTTTGGTTAATGGAATGACATATGAGACCTAACAATATTATATATGATGAACAAACCAGTAATGTAATATCTCTACACGCATAGATGACAATAATGTCTGGAAGCACAAACCCCACGTATTAATGTAGGGAAGTCAAAAGCAATAGTTTTTCCACAAGAAAACAGGTCGTTGGTCAAGTCATGACCTCTGTGGTGTCATTTTGCTAGAACTCGGAAATGAAAGAGGGAATTCAATATCACCCAAATAAAATGGCAATAGAAAACAATCATTTGGATCCTCCTTGAACAAAGTTTGCCATTAGCATGTACTGGTGAGAGCATAGAAATGCATAACCCTGGTCAGAAAGACGTCTTTGCAACTAAACATGTCACTACAACAGACGACCTTGCCTGATATTTTACATATTTACTGGATTTAAAGCCAATCTAATCATTCTTAGAATTCCAGAATATCAAAGTTTATACCAGAAACATATACAATCCTATAGTACAGAGTCAGGTTTTGAGACATTCGGCTCAATCAGTATTTGTATGGAAACTACATCGAAGGACAATAAAATGGAAGCTAAAGAGAATGGTCACTGGTGACATGAAGAATCAGATGACGCGACCAACTGTTGCCCAGTGAAGATAAGAATGATTGAATGTAAACTGACCACAGCTCAGGATGAGCTGAGTAGGGACAAGTCAGCATCAAGTAAGGTGGCTACCAACAAGTCATATGTACGTCATGGGCTTTCCCATAGTGAATTCCCTCAATGTTGGAGCATTTGACATCTAGCTCCAATGAGTCCATCCATTTTTTATATACGAGGTGGGAATATAACAATTAAGTTTTGGGAGTGCACCAATTGAACATACAGTACATTTCCATTACTAGCACAGAAGGATACAATGGTAAAGTTTGTCAAACAAAGCCTATGGGGCTTGCTTGAGACCATAAAATACCTTCTCAAGCTTGCATACTAGATTTGGATTGGGGAAATATAACTAAGGTGTTGTTGCATAGATAAGGTTTCCTTCAGATGCCCATGACAGAAAGAATTTTTGACATCCGCCTGTACTGTGGTCATTTGCCCAAGGTTTCATCGAAGTCCATTTCATACCCCTGTGAACCTCTGGCTAAGAGTAAGACCCCATAATAATCCAGCATTTCATCAGGCCCCAACTTCCGTGCATATGCCATTTGAAACTGATAGGTTGTTTACATTACCAAGTATGATTGTCATGCAAACCCTGCAATTCCTTTTGCAGGGAACTCCTTAAATTCTCAAATTTAGTAATCTTTGAGTAAGAAGATGGACCAGAAGTGGAATCCAATGTAGCTAGAAAGGTGAAGTAAAGGAAAAATGTCATGGATAGAAGGGAACACAGTAAATCAATTACCTGTGATGTGTTAGTTGCATCTACAACTGGGCCATGTTTTGGCAGGGGCCTCTGGACAGACAACATGATGCCTTATCTTCCATATTTGCATGTGGAGGTGACACTCTAACAATATTAATTGACTAAACTATATTTCCCCCAAAAACCTTCTTCAAAGGGTTGGTTTTTCTTTGTTTTTTGGGATATCAATACATATGAAAAGAAACAAATGATGTATTTCAAATCTTTAAGTAGAAGGAACATAATTTAGAGTGGAATAAATAATTATTTGCTAAGTCTTATTTTATGATGGAGCATGAAACTTCATAACCTGATAGACAAACATGCAGCCCTTGTTTTCAGTCCATTCTCCAAGGGACTACACAAAGTTACATTTTAGGCATTCATGTTATCAACATGCTTATGGAAAAACGAAAAACAAAATAAAAAAAAACCATTTCTTGTCACAGTTTGGGCTTCAACAACTTAAAATCCAAATTATATCCAGAAAGAAATTCATTAAGCATACTTGAGAAAATCATGTAGTTTCTGCTGCAATTGTGTGGCTGCCTCCTCTTCCAAGTTGACATAGGCCAATAATTCAGGAAGCTTCACTGCAGAAAATCCATCATTCTTAGTTTTATATGATAGCAATCAAAAGAAGTAGACTTCATTATTTGAGTACAATAGTTGAATGCCATAAATACCGCTCTTAACTAAAAAAGCCAAGACAAAATATGAATAACAAATAAATAATAATAGCAATTATACATTTGCACCCTCGTAAGTTAAATCTTTTAATGGGTAAGATGTGAATAAGTACAGATTGGAACAGTATAAGAAAAGAAGGTACAATCACCCTTCAGTGCTGTAAAGTAAACCAAGATGTACCCATATAACCAGAAAAAGTCAATTTATGGGTGTTCTTCAGACCGTGGCTACTATCATCATCATCATCCAAGCCTTATCCCAATAATTTGGGATCGACTACATGAATCTTGTTCATCCATTATTCTCTATCAATGGCCATACTCTCAGTAAGACCAAAAAGTTACATAGGTTCAGGATTCATAATAAGATGTAGCAACGTGTTAAGCTAGCTGCCTATCTAACACAACTCACTTCCTTTACCCCGAGCTTGGGACGGGTCAAGGGAAAGTTTAAGGTCCTCACCCTTATTAGACTACTTCAGAAAAAATTAAATAAAGGAAAAACATTACGAAAGTTCCCATATCATGCTAAAAACTATCAAAATAATCTAAAAAATCATTTCTAAGCAATATCTATTTTTAAATTGACGCAAAATCAGCTTCAATTAGCGAGAATCCACCTACTATCTCTCTCCATTTCACCTGACAATTTTATAAGTAATGACCTAATCTAGGCCAATGGAGAATAGTTAACTGGAACTGAAGCATTGTTTGGATGAAATCTCAACAGTTAACATATCATCATCATTATCATCATCATAACATTTTCCCAACTGTTTGGGTTCGGCTACACGAATCCTGGTCCGCCATTCTCCTCTATCATAGGCCATAATCTCAGTGAGGCCAAAAGTCCCCATATATTTTCTCACTACTTCCAACCATGTCCTTTTGGGCCCTATCACTTGCCCTTTCTGAACCATATCTTCAGACCGTGGCTATCTGGACTGTATTTTGGCATTCAACTTGCCTAGGGGTTTGATGCATACTAAGTTGTACCCCCATTGCCTACATCAGGAAAGCTTTCTTCTGGCAACAGAATGCTAAATAAATTTACAACCCTGACAGCAGTTATATTTGTTCAAAGAGATGTATAGGAGATGTCAACCCTACCATAATATGAAAGAGTTGTGAAATGAGGTCTTCATACACTAACTATAGTGACTAACATATGGACAGCATATGCAATTTTTGGTGGTTATGTGGCAACAAATACAAAAGACTGCCACTGCCAACCAATCGTCTTTACTTTGCTAAATAAATCACAACCATCTTTTCTGTGCCAATAAGTTCATATTCGGTTCAAGTGGGTATACACTACTCCAATTTGTTACTTACAAATTTTAATCAAATGAGTTTTATCAATAAGTTGTTACTTTCAGGCACCCACAGTCCTAACTCCTAACAATACGATGTTTCATCTCTTGGACAGAATATCATCCACAACTAGGCTAATACAGACCAACAGGATACTCATGAACCCTTTTCAGTGACGTGCATCTAGGGACTAATCTTATCCAGCCCTGGGTGTGGGTCCACTCTTCTAGCCAAGGCCCAGTCACACACCAAGGCAAGAGTGATGGAGCCCCTGCCTAGACAGAGAGAGCTCCAACCAGCTCCAATGGCCTATTTCATCCAAGTAAAACTCATCAACCCTAATAGCATGTTTCATACAACTTCAGATTGGCATGTTTCACTCATTCTAGTCCAAAACTCTCAGCCAAACCAGGAATGTGAGTTCAAACACGTAATAGTACAAAAAAGAGCTTTTATCAAAAGAACAAGCGTCAAAGTCCAATTTAGGCCATAAAAGTCCAACAAAAACAATCCAGTACTGCCATGATCAGCTTCTCCTTTGGTTTCTCTCTCTCTATGGATCACTTTATCAAAAGAACAAGTGTCAAGGCTGATTGAGGCCATAAAAGTCCAACAAAAACTATCCAGTACTGCCATGATCAGCTTCCCCTTTGGTTTCTCTCATTATGGATCCTATTTTGACCCAAAAAGCTCAGCCCAAAGTAGAGATACTTCTCCATGGAGAGTAACTCAAGTATATCAGCATACATGGCTCCGTCAATCCCTCTAACCTAGAAACCCTAAAAATGCCCAGAAATGTAGAGAGAGAGAGAGAGCACTAAAAATGCCCAGAAATGCAGAGAGAGATGAAATATAGAAGGTACAAATAGAATAAGCTTCAGATAGTGATAGAAAGGAGCTTTTGAGAGAGGGATATTTCTGCAAAAAAGGAAGAAAGTGTTTGTAGAAAGAGATAGATAGGGGGAGAGAAGAATCAGACATGCAAATCAATTTTAAATTGTGATTTTCTTGTGAAAAAATGGGAAGACACAGAGAGCGACAGAGAGAATCAGACATGCAAATTGACATTGGAGATGACATGTCAAGAAAGAGATCCACCAAGAAAAAAACAGAGAGAGAAAGAGAGTCACACTTGCAAATCGACAATGGAGAGGAACCATAAAGAGAGATCCGCCAAAAAAGAACAGTGAGAGATCAGACCTACAAAACTAGATAGAGGAGAAAACCTGCAGGATTTTTTTTTTCTTATTAATAATATCCCCGGACTGCCCTAATCAGCCGAGTTGGAGCACCGGGTCCACTTGTCCAACTCGGAACCAGTGGGTACCGGTTTGGTACACCGAGCCAGTTTTTTTAAAATTTGGTCTTCGTCAATCGTAGGCCTGGCATATATACCTCTTAGGAAGAATCTCATCAACAGGGAAATAAATATAAGGGAGCATTGGACTATTCCTTTCGCATTCAACTCGAATCAGAGAAATGCATAAGAACAGTGAAATCTTGTAGACCTTTGAGGTCAAAAACTTATTGCATTCAATTTTGTATCCCTTCTAATATATCTCAAAGGGAAATATCTTTAAATTATAAATATAAAAAATTGGGAAAATGGTTAAAATTACGAAAAGAATTTCTGGGTTTTACTTTTGGCCGGTTTAATCTAGAGCAACTGAACTAGTAAGTTCAAGCTCCCTTAGCACTTTTTTACCAGTTTTGACCTATTATTTGTTCAATCTGCATGCTCAAACAGTTTTTGGTCGCAGCTCCAGTCCAGTCCAATTCTGATACCATTGCTTTGTCTAGAACTCAGTTGTACAAACCTTGTATATGGTGACGTTCCCACTCCCATGACTTCCACTGCATGGGTGATTCCCAGGCCAAGCCGCTTAAAACATGCTCTTTGGTCACACTAACCACACACTCCAACAGGCATCCTCAAGGCATTACTGGTAACTATAATCCAGAACTATTTATGTGATTTTGTCATCATCCGCAAACAATATATCATCTACATATATTCGTAGAGCAACACTCTCAGATTACCATCAAGGAGCAAGCAATGACTAGAACCAGAATGTCGAAATCCTCCAAGAACGATTACCCCTAAAGCTACAAAAACCAGGCCAGTTGCCTACTAAGGAGCACATAATTCCTTTCAGATTACTGTAACATAACAAGTAAATTTCAACATAGATGATGATGAAGAACACATTCTTCACACCTATCTTGGTTGAAGGCTAGCGTCAAACAGAAGCTACTGCAATAGAGGTGCCTACAGCGGTCCTGTTTGCAACAACAGCCCGTGCCCCATTAAAAGGCATCTCGTACACTTGGGTATACCTTAGCACTACCAAGTGAGTATTCTAACTCCCTAAGACACCATTTACAGAATTCACCATCATTCATTTATATCACCTCTAAGCCATATGCAAGCTGAATTTGGTCACAAGCAGAATTTGGGTATTACAAATTATTAGGCATGACTCCCTTGATACTATTAGGTGGAGAGCAGGGGCATTCTCCTATCCTTAAAGACTGAAAAAGAATGTTTTGGGAATGCAGGACTTGCACACGGAATCTCATGGTGTGCTGTCATACTCAAACTACTAAATGAAGGTTCTTTGGCAAATACATTGGCTGATTCAAAGCAGAGAGGAAGGGGCGGTGTCACCCATTGTTTACCTCACTGTTTTCCTTTTTTATTAATGATTTTTGTTTGCAAACATGATTTTTGTATGCATGATTTCACCATCATTCAATTTGCAGACATGTAGAAATAAAATCCCTTTTCAACCTGCTTGTACAGAAAGTGATTGTGATATTTACTTTCTTTCTGTGAGTTATCTTGTACAAGATATCATATCTTTGAAACTGATTCAAGAAGGATGTAAGGAAATAATACTCATGTATGCAGATTCTCTTCAAGCCATTGATCATACTTGTGTTTCCAAGACTTACAATTCAATGGAATTGCATAAACTGCGGCATAAAGGGCTAGGTCAATCGAATTTGATATGATAATGTTCGAGATCAGTTGCTTTTCTGTTATAATAAATAAACCTGATAAAGTAGGAACTGTCCCTACCTTAGCAATTAATTAGTCCAAGCCCAACACTGTTGGATCTGTTTTTTTTTTTTAAAGCTTTGCTCTTTCATCAAGATTCACCATTGGGTAATTCCTCTAGTAAGGATCCAATGGTCATCCAACAGAAACTTTTGAGAAGAAAAATGATACAGAGCTATTAGGCATGGATTTATAGCTAAGTAGAGATCAGGGTCCGATTTCATCATTCCTTTATAATAAATGCAGTTAATGTGACATTTATATTTTGGCCAGATTACAAATTGTCCTTTCTTTTCCAGTTTGATGAAACCAACAATGCAGCAAAGTAGCACTCCCTGGTACTCCTGCCCTTCTTGCCCCTGAGTAGGTGCTCATAAATTTATTCTTAAAGAACCTTTCTTGAAAATACGATGGACCAACATTCATCAGTTATCCACAGACAACAATGTAGAACTTTAATCTTGCTTACTCCTCCAATAGTAATATGATAAAAACAAGGATCTTCACCATCTACAACCTCTCCGTTAACCTTTAGCTCAGATCAGCTAGTGAATAATTGCAGCCCTTTGTTCAACATTAGTTCCTATCATTCGTATGGTCATTGTCACAAATTTAATGTGTTCGTTGATAGTGTCACAAAACCAAAGAATTTCAAAGAGGCGTCCTAAATTATTGGAGTTCCCTAGGGGCTTGCATTATTTTCCAGAACTCTCCCTATGTGACTACAAAATTAACTCTTAAAGTCCATGGGCTAAGGTTCTATGGTCATTCATCAAAAATCATCTTGCACATCCTAGAGTTAGGGCGATCCACTCAAGTAACAAGCTGGTTTTATCTTGTATCATATTATTAGCTCAACCTAGTAATCCTAAAGACTAATGCTTTAACCATGTCCAAAGTATATCTTGTTCCACATCATCATCATTATCACCATCAAAGCCTTATCCCAACTATTTGGGGTAGGCTACATGAATCATGTTCTGTCATTCCACTCTATCAAGGGCCATACCCTCAGTCAAACCATAATTCACCATATCACTACTCACTACTTCCATCCATATCCTTTTAGGCCTTCCCCTTGCCCTTTTGGAGCCTTCCACTTGAACCAAGTCACTCCTCCTAACTGATGTTGTTCCAGGTTGACGCTACACATGGCCAAACTACCTAAGTCTACTTTCCCTCATCTTATTTCCTACTGGACCTACTCCTAAGTTCCCTCAAATATTCATTCTGAATTCTATCATTTCTTATATTGCCACTCATCCATCTCAACATCCCCATTTTAACTACTCATATTTTATAGATATATTATTTCTTTATTGCCCAACACTTCCTCTTCAATTTCATTGGCATCCGACAATCACATAAGACTCCAAAAGCACATCTCCACTTCGTCCACCCAGCTCTAATTCTATGTGCAACATCTTCCTCCAATCTCTCTAACCTCATGGACTATCGACCCAAGATATCGAAAAGAATCTCTTTTAGGTAACAATCTCTTTTAGGTACATCTTGGCCATTAATCTTGATCCACATGAACTTGCGAAATGATCATATTCTTTGATTGTTTATTATGAGATCCTTTAGATGATGTCCATGAAGGCCTACCAACATAAGGGGTGGCCCCTCGAGTCCCATTGCTGTCCTGTGGTCCCTGCCCATGCATGCATTGAACCATAGAAATATTCAAGCAAGATCCAACAGATATTAGATAGACAGAACCAACTGCTTCAAATACCCTAACTATAACTGCATTAAACCAGGAGACTTGATCTACTTGTCAAATAGGTCCATCATCAGTTCTGGCCATTTATCCCTATTTGGTTTCAACAAGGACCATAACTCTTGTGGGCATTGTTCCTGGCCTCAACAGTTAGACAAGATAGTCCATCTAACACTGGCTTCAACTTAATCTTAAAATATGCTCATACAATTTTAGCACACATTGAAGGACCCAAATATAGCATAACCCACCGCTGGTCAGCAATACATGTCATATACCATTTGCACAATTAGCACACAATATAATGAACTTGTAAAAGGAAAATAAGGAAAGCAGCAGGGAACCAGAGATGCATCGTGAAATTGTTCAGGAATGATTCATTATTTGCATGAAGTATAATAGAATTGAAAAGGGAAAAGGAAAAGGAAAAGGCACAGTTTTAATTTAGCAAAAGAGCATACAAAATGACAAACAATTAAAAGAATCAAATAAGAGACATGAAGATAAAGAGTATTCTCGTTTAAATACATATGACAGTGAAATATGAGCATACCAAAGAGGCGAAGAAGATGCTCAGCACCATAGATGGTAGAAGGGGAGATGTTACTATTCTCTGGAACCAAATCATGATATTGTTGGCGCTCTTGTTTGTATAAGAGCATTGGTCGTAATGCTTTATCAAAATAGCAGCGTAAGCCACTTAATATCTCTCCGACTGACTCTGCAATCCTGCATAGGACAACAGCACAAGTAATAGATTTTTCCAAGCCAAGGAATAAAACTTTCAAAAAATTAGAAGGCAAACAAAAGTTTCACGTGAACTTCTGAAATAAATATGCATTATGATCCTATGCACATCATTTCTTGTAACTAGAAGCCCAACAATATAACAAGAAGTCAAGCTAAAACACAAAGGAAATGTTGAAAGCGAGCCAAAGTCCAATGCAAGGATCCCTCCAATCCTTCTTACCTAAAATCATAAAAAGAACAGTAGCAGAATGCAACAATGAAACCGTGGTAGATGTAGAATTCTAAGAAAACAGCTTGTTTAATCAATAAATTTTGAAAACTACATAAATATTCAACACTGACGAAAGAAATTAGGATTTGCAACAGTAAACATCCGCACTTGCACAATCGCAACCATTTGTTGCACAGATAGAAAAAGTGATGGAGGCCCCAATTACGTTTGATTGCCAGCTTAATCAACTGATTTACTTAGTTTAGAGCCAATCAGAGTCATTTTTGCTATTTTTTTTTTTAAAACCATGTGGGCAGTCCACCATTTTTAGAAGCTACAAACCTGAACCACATGGGGCCCACTTACCTTGCCGAGGCCACCTCCCCTGTGTCATAACGGTCATTTTTGTAATTATAACATTGAAAAGATTGAACTAGGCATTCAAAGAGTGCTGGCAAGATATGCTAATTGTATGCAAGCTAAATAACCACAAAATCTTGATAATAAATGATTTTCAAAAGGTCACATCTTATAGTAAGGCTCCAAGACTCGTGATCGAACAGAGACACCCAAAACCAAGGATTCCATAAAATTTACAAAATGTAGATGGCATACCCTAGACTAACTTAGAAGGTAATTCCCAGTAAACAAATGATTCTTAAAAATAATGGGAGTAAGAATATGAATCCCACTCTATGATCAAGGTCTGGGAAGGATTTTCAAACCTAAATGGAATGAAGACCTAGCAGAATGTATGTGGTTCAACCAGCTACGTTGACAGCAGCTAAAAAAGGGAACTTGGAAAGCATAGTTGCGGGGATCTTGGTCAGAAGGTGGCGATCTCCTCCTAGAATCTTGATCCGGCGATCTCCGAGCCACAGCCCGAGTGATACTCGCTTCCTCCCTGCAGGGGATCTCAATCATTAGGATCCCGGTTCCTAACTTATAGGGATCTCAATCCTTGATTACAAAGGATCTTGATCCACTCCTCCAAATTCCTTTCTTAATTGAAGGTTTCTAGTAGTTTATATCATTTCAAAGTGAATTAAAACGATGAAATTATTACCTATATTTGCTTTTGTCTCTTCATTTTGGTTTAAAATCAATAATATATGATAAAAAAAATCCTTTCTTGGATTTCATAATGCCCTTTATTGTATCTCACTTCAAATCTTCCCTAAAATCTTTTCGTTGATTTTTAATTATTAATATTTTCATACATTATATTTTTTTAAACAAAATGTCTTATCTACCTTTCAAAAGTGTCTACGCAATTGATGAACTTTAATTTCACTTTATTTTGTTTGAAAGTATGTGAAAATAATAACATTTTTAGTGATTTATTTATGCTCTTAACTGTCATTTAAAATATTTTGTTTATAATAGAAAATCTTTTATTGGATTTTACAATGCCCTTTATGTCTTTCATTTCTTAAATACTCAATTGAATATCTTTTCATGCATTTACTGTATCTCGATTCAAATCTTTCCAAAACCTTTTCCTTCATTTTTAATTATTAAGATACTTGTACATTATATTTTTTAACACAATATGCTACTTGAATCCCATATAAACTCTTCTATTATAATAGAAAATCTATTTTTAGATGTCGTATTATATTCTTATGTTTATTCTAAAATATTTAAAATCATCACCAGGCAGAGGATTGTTTTTGTGAATCATCACCAAGTTGGGGCTTATACAGATGCCGATTGGGCTGGCTAGCTATGTTATGCACCAGAGATCTACAACAGGCTCTTGCACTCTAGTTGGGGGTAACTTGGTCACTTGGAGGAGTACAAACAATCATTTGTAGCCCAGTCAAGTGGAGACGTAGAGTATCGTTCTATGGGTCATGGTGCATGTGAGTTGTGGTTCAAATTCCTACTATGGGAACGTGGTTTTACTATGATAACACGGCTGCCACTAGTATAGCTTACAATCCTATTCCGCATGATCAGACCAAGCATATCAAGGTAGACCGACATTTTATTCAAGAAAGAGTTGCTACAAGAGAAATTTGTCTTATGCAAAGACAGAAGATCAGCTAGCAAATATTTTGACAAAGACTATTATTAAACATCGACTACAAGTTATTTTAAGCAAGCCGGGCATTGATTGATACTATGCACCATCTTGAGGGGGAGTATTGTGAGAGTGATTATTGAAGACTTAGTCATCATTATATTGCATTTAAGTTCTAAGGACTTATTTATCCTTTCTACCACAAAAGGACATTCTTGTACTACAAGTAAATCTTTTATAACTGATATAAATATATGAGAGGTGCTGGAGGTCAATATGACCTAATATCACCTTCTCTCTTTCTTCCTCTAAATGTCCTCATCCTTCCTCTTTTTCTCTCTCATTGAGCACTTAATCTCTTCATCGTTTTTCTTCCTTTGTTTCTCCTCCTTTCATTATTTACTGTTGTAATTTAACTATTAAAAACTTGTTTCAACCCATTGAATTCTTTGGACCAAACCTTAGTTTCTGGGATAGGCACCACTCTATCTCAAGAAATTTTACTCCAAGTTCCTGACAGTGGTACAGTAAAAGACACTCTTCACTCTTTGTAGTCACAAAAACCTAATACACATATTCTTGAACTCTCAATGGTTTTCCAGCGAGCCAAGCGAGATACTTCATTCATTAGTGGATTACCTGAACAAGATCAGGGCCTTTTTCTGATCAACTAGTAGCCATTGAAGATCCCGTTTCCGTCAGTGACGAAGTTATGTATACACATTGGTTTCGTCATGAATACATGACCTTTGTGGCCTCGATTATGACACAGACTCCCATACCAACCTTTGATGAACTGTGCCTCTTGCTTCTACAACATCAATCCATGTTCGTGTAACCGAATGTGTGTTTAAAAGAACTGCTTCTACAACATTAATCCATGTTCATGTAACCGAATGTGTGTTTAAAAGAACGGGGCATTAAGGAGGAAAATCATGTCTCAAATGTAAAATTGTCTTACTTCCTGAAGAACACTATATAGTCACATGTTGCCCAATATTACAGATTCAACATTGTGAATTACATAAAATGGTAAAAGATCTAGAAAACATATATAATAGTTCAAGAGACAAAGAGGGAATAAAATATAAATTGTTAAGATAGAAAAAATACAATAAACTGAAACAAACTAAAATTGAACAGATGAAAGAGTGGCCTGGCTGAAAGATAAATCAACACTTGGTAGAAATTATTTCCAGCCGTTAAAAACTCACATGCCATCCTTCTTTGACCGGTAGTCAAGATATCTCTTCAAAATATCATCAACCGATGGAGAGCGCGGAAGTTTAACAAGCTGTAAGAGAAACTCATTAACACCAAAAGTATTGCAGAAGAGAAGAACAACTTTATCTCCTTCAGCAATAATCTAAAGAGAAGATTACAGATAACTCAATTAAATTTCAAACACTTGCACTTTGACCAACCATGTTTCTGATATTACAGAGACATGATCCCTTTTAAGCCTCTCACACACATAAATGAAGGAGCAAAAGGTTGATTTTGCCCATCACCAAAAAGTGGTCTAGATTTTTAACTTAATAGAATCTTACTATTTCAGCCCCAATACCAGTATAGCAAACCTAGGTATTTCCTTCAAGAGAGCTCATTATGCTCTAAGTGGAGACAATCTCTCTCCTCCCTGCCCCTCCAAATGCCAGCTACCCCCTAATGACCGAGAGACAGAGAGAGAGAAAGCGGGAGAGAGAGAGAGAGAGAGAGAGATGGGCAAGATAACAGTTAGGAGAGTAGCCAGAATGTTGGCAGTGAAAGAGGGAAAGAAGGCAGAGGGAGACTAGAGACCTTGTTGGGAAAGATTAGTTTGGTTAAAGTTACTCAGCATGGACTGATAGTTCAAGGGGGAAAATAGTAAATTCCTACAAAGATACAGGTTTATAGCAATTTTGTAATGGACAAAGTGGACTTTTTTGCCCCTTTAAATGGCCTCCATGTGTGTGAGGATGAAAAAGATCATGTTTCCATAAAATCGAAAAATATAGATGATTGAATTGTAAATCTGAGGAACTTGATAATCTATATGTTATTATCTCTTGAATGATATTATTAATCATATTACTAACATTGCATAATTAAGATATCCGGATTCTTTGAGATCATCATCATCATTTTAGCCTTTTCCCAGTTAATTGGGGTCGGCTCAGATTCTTTGAGATGAATATCCAAATAAATATACCAATAAACAGCAAGAATATATTATGTTTGTATGATATTTGGTGGGATTGATGAATCTGAGATCATAAACTTCAGAGAAAAAATCAGAAGGATTTTGTAATGAGTAGCAGAGAACAATCATGAAACCTCCCTTACTTGAATTAGCTAAAACCAAAGAAAATTTGGAGACACCATCCTATTTTCCTTTTATTTTACAAAATTTTTTGGGAAAATTTAGAAGTTGCATTTATTCAACACTCAGCAGAAGTTCTTTGCATGAAAGTTCAAGTTAAACTGGACATCAGATTTCTTTCAACCCAAAGCAATTCATTGATGTCAGAATTAAAAAATTCAATGATTTCATGTGAATAAAAACAATGACAGATCATTCAGTTTTTATTTGGAAATAATTGTTTTAGCCGTCTATGTTGATGATATTGGTGTTTTTGGTAATGATCAAGAAGGAATCAGTCATTTGAAGACACATCTAAAACAATATGTTTAGATGAAAAAAGTCGGTAAACTAAGGTATTTTCTCAGAATTGAAGTAGCAAGATCAGAGCATGGCATTAGTTTGTCCAAAAGAAAATATGTGCCTGATTTGTTGATAGAAACTGGAATATTGGGTGCTAGACCAGTGGATAGGTCTATGGATTCAAATGCAAAATTATTGCCTAATCTGAGAGAGTTGTTAAGGATCCAGGACAGTACACAAGACTACAAGGCAAGCTAATTTATCTTTACCATCACAAGAGTTGATATTGCCTTTGCAGTAAGTGTTGTGAGTCAGTTTATGCATACTCCGAGGATTCCTCACCAGGACGCATAGAATTTTAAGGTATCTAAAAGGAGCCTCGGGTCGAGGTTTGATTTACAAGCCAAATAATCATTTAGCCATTGAAAGTTACTAAGATAATGATTGGGTAGATTCACCATTTGACAGGTGGTCTATCACAATCTATTGTATATTTAATGGTGGAAACTTAATAATATGGAGAAGCAAGAAACAAAATGTTGTGGCCAAATCTAGTGCAGAGGTTGAATGTGGAGCAATGGCACATACTACATGTGAATTGATGTGGTTGAAAACATTGTTGCAAGAGATAGGATTTACTATTGCAATAAAGATGTCACTTATAGAGCCACTAATTCAGTGTTTCATGAAAGGATTGAGCACATTGAAGCAGTCTATCATTTTATTTGAAAGAAAGTTGCTAGTAAGCTACTCCATATGTGAAATCTTAAGAATCAATTGGCAGACATTTTCACCAAAGGACTTGATCGTAATATATTCCAAACAACTTGTTCAAGCTTAGCATGAATGACATTTATGCTCCAGATTGAGTGGAGCATTAATAATCCTTTAATATAGTTCTAGGACCCAAATGCCCTTTCATATTTTGTACGGGTGGTTTTGCTCTTTTACATTTGTTTAACAATATATAAGTGGTTTACGAGGTACGTGAGGGCTCAGTTTTCAACCTCACTTCACTCTCTAGTCTCTCACACATCTCTCTCTCTCTCTCTCTCTCTCTCTCTCTCTCTCGTCTCTCGTATCTCTCTCTTCTCTCTCCTTTTTCTCTTTTCTCCTCTCTCCTCTGACAAGATGAAACACAAGCAACAAAACATGGACAATAACAAACGCTCTTCATGTTCTTCTACTTTCTAAAGTCCAAGTACAGAAGTACTTAAAGAGTAGTTTATGCTCCAGCCGATCAAAATTAAACCAGGAAAGTAAGACATGAAAGCAGTTGATGAGATGATGTATCATGATAACAACAGATATAAATCACACCATCCAGAATTTCTTAAAAAATGATGCATGATTACCTTACCGAGCTGAGTAACAAACTCCCAGTCATCAACTAATTGCTTCTTCAAAGAGGCAGGAAATTGAATCTTCACATGTTTTTCTGGGGAATCTGCATCTTTCTCCTGATTGTTCAAAGAGCATGCGATTAAACAAAGAACCAGAAAGCATCAAGGTTCAGTCCAATAGGCTTTGATAAAAATGATGGATCCATTAAATCAATTACAACTATAGCAGAACGGTTTTCCTTTATTGTTGACAAGGTTACATAGGAATGGAACTTGAGACATAGTGCTATAAAGACCCAGCTGCTACGCCTTGACCCAAGCCCGATTCCTACTGTAGCAGAACATGTTACATAGGAATGGAACTTGAGATGTAGTGCTATAAAAACCCAGCTGCTACCGCCTTGACCCAAGCCCGATTCCTACTGTAGCAGAACATGTTGTCAACACCAACTATATTATGAATAGATAGAGTTAAGAAAATAACAAAAAGCACATATTAACAATGGAACAGAAAATTGGTGCATTTTTTCCCTGTTAATGTCAAAAGCCGCACTGCTCATATTGTATTGCTATGAAGATGAACTAACCCATGTACTGTTACATTATGAAACAAAACCTTACTACATGAACTCCTTCCAAGAGACTAATGACACACCATATAACGAGATTGCATAGGAATGCACGCTACAACTAACAAAACTAGAGAAGCCTTACACTTACAAGCACTCGTGTGCTAGTGAAACCTTGTTCATTAATGACCTTAATAATCACATATCATGTCTGGGATTCACATGAAGCGTCCTTTTAGAAAAACTTATTGATGTATGCGCATGATTTTTATATCACATATTCATATCAAGAACACACCATTTATATAACATATTCAAAACTTCATAATAAAGGAGTTGACTCTTAAAGTGTCATCAGAGAGCAACAATATATCCACATTGATCTAAATCTAGTACTTTTTAACCACATATACATGTATATACATCATTTTATTGATTCAATCCTGATCCATCCTCTAGATTTACTTTTTTCTATTGACAAGAATCATATGCAAGAAAAGACATGTTACAAGTCCATCACTCCTAGGATTCTTTTACTAGGGAACAAATGGTTGCAGAAAACACCAATTCTGATAGTATGTACTAGATAACCGATGCAAGAACTGCACATTTCCGAACACCCAACCATATGGATTTTGGAGAAGGTTTGGCTATGCATTTGGATGTTAAATTCAATTATCATAAATAATATAAACTTAAGTATCTGAGTATGTGAGAGTGTCATAAGGGCCTTGAGATCCAAATGCTAAAAGGATTGAAGGAAAGGCGAATATATGTCTCATATTGAAATCATAATTATCACCATCATGATCATCTGAGCTTTATCCCAACTATTTGGAGTCACTTACACAAGTCCAGTTCCACCATTCTACTTTATCAAGGGTCATGCCCTCAGTCAGACCATAAGTTACCATATTCCTTCTCACTACTTTCATCCACGTCCTTTTGGGTCTTCCCCTTACCCTTTTAGAGCCTTTGATGTGAACCCATTCGTCTCTCCTAACCATTGTTGTATTAGGCCTATGCTGCACATGGCTAATGCACTTAAGTCTACTTTCCCTCATCTTATTACCTATTGGAGCCTCCCCTAAGTTCCCGTGTATCTATTGATTCCAAATTTTATGCTTTATTGTCTTGCCACTCATTCATCTCAATATCCTCATCTCACCATCCTATGGATATGTTGTTTCTTGACTGCCCAATACTCCATCCCATAAGGTGTGGCTGGTCTTCAATAGTCCTATTAAACTTTCCTTTAGTTTATTGGTATGTGGTGATCGCATAGAATTCCGGATGCACATCTCCACTTCACCCACCCAGCTTTAATTCAATATGTGACATCATCTTCAATCTCTCTATTCTCCTGGATCATCGACCTAAGATACCTAAAATAATCACTTTTAGGTATTTCTTAGTCATCAATCTTAACTACGTTCTCATCTCTACTCCTATTATTACTAAACTTGCATTATGTATATTTTGCCTTAGCCCATGTAATTTTTAAAATCTTTAGGTTCTAGAGCATTCCTCCAAAGTTCTAACATTGTGTTGACGCCTCCTCTAGTCTCATCAATTTTATGCCATCCGCCAACAACATGCACCAAGGTACCTCATCATGTAGATGCCTAATTAAGTCGTCCATAACCAAAACAAAGAGATATGGGCTCAATGCCAACCCCTAATGTCAGCCTACGATCACTGAAGACCCACTTCTCTCCACTAGACACCCTCACACTAGTTAGCGCTCCCTCGTACATATCCTCACGACGTCAATATCTCTTCTACAGACTCCTTTATTTTCCAACACCCACCAAATTAGCTCTCTAGATACCCTGTCATATGTTTCTCTAAATCAATAAAGACTATGCAGAGGTATCTTCCCTTCTCCCTATACTACTCAATCAGTTGCTTAAATAGGAAAATAGCCTCAGTTGTTTACCTCCCTGGCATAAAGCCAAACTGATTTTCTGATAGACACATTTATATGCTTCATCTTGAAATGATGCTTGTAAATACATTAACCAACCACCTGAAAACCACTGCAAGTTCAAGAAGGGAAAGGGTCAATGAAGATATGTATAGGCAGCCAAAACAGACATAAAGCAATGTGAGGTAGCAATCAGCCCAAATTGACATAGAGCAATAGCAATAAAAAATATCAGCCCCAAACCGGTAGTGTGGTCTCTCTTCCCTTATGCCCTTCCAACTATATTAAAAAAGTGAGGATTCATATTGATAGATTTTGTTCTAGCGACCAAGAGAAACGATATTAACAGATTTCCTCCACTCTTTCCATAAAGTTTGGTACACATTTGAGCTTGTTCCATAGCATTGAAAGTCAGCCCTTATCACAAAAGCAACAAGCACCATCACATCTAAGTTCCTTTGGTATTCATGGTCAATTTGCATGTGAAATTCTGAATCCCTACACAATAGTGTTCTCTGTCAAGGATTCGCACGACTATGAAAGCTAGCAGAATGCCCTAACTGGCCTAAGAATCTAATCATGAAATACCCAATTACCAGGCTTGATAACCTTCCATAATGCATGCTCAGAGCATCTTCCAGTCAACGTTGGCTCAATCAACATATCAAATGGGCCCAAAGAGTTGTACACTACAGAGGAGGACGATTATTTTTTGTCATTCACCAACAATACAGCTGATCGTCTAGTCAAGGAGAACTTGAACTCCCAGCTCTGATGCATGTGGGAATTCCCACCCTACAAGATGGTTTTCGGCCTACGCCACTTTCATTGCGAATTTTTCTTCTCAACAAAAACTAATATACATGTCTCAATTTGTTTTCGCTACTTACCCAAAAAAAAAAAAAATTTGCTTTTCGCTTAATTATCAACACAAGTATTTTTTAGAAATCACCATACTTTTTCTAGCCTAGCATTAATTATGAAAAACAAAATTAGCTACCTAACCAGCTCCATCAAAGTTAAAGAATTACAGCTGCGATGAGCAGAAAGAAAGTTCAAGTAAACTTCAACAAGAAATTATCCGAGAAGGCAATGAATTGGAAGGAACTTTTATGATACAAAAATCATCAAGGTGATCATTAATGCAGGAGAATATTTCTTTTTCATTACGAATAGTTCATTAATTTATAACAGCTTCCTTTAGCTAATAAAAAGACGAAAACTATAAGGAAATGTGTGTAGGAGCATTCAAAAGGCTGGTGATGTGGTGCAGTCTTGAGGTAAGAAGCTGGTAGCACTCTCTCATGTTGACTAGGACTTTTCAAGTCAGTGATTAAGAAGGAATGGATGGCCAAAGCTCAGCAACCCAGTGTTTCATTATATCAACAATGAAACCATAGAAACTTCTAAAAATATTATATGTAAATGATGCTGCAGATTTGGTTCTTGAACGTAGACATTAGTATTTTTCTAAATTCATAAACAGATCTCATTTTCTCTAATGGTTCAAGATTGATAAAAAGAGGTAGATCACATAGTAAGTGCGGATCTGCAGATCATGGTAGATGCATATAAAAGAAACTAAGAGAAAAAAAGAGAAGTGGTAGCGGAGGTAGAGGTGGGGGGAACAAATGGAGGAGCAAGCAAGGAATTGTGTACATTCAACATGAGGAATTTGAGATTGCAAGAGAATACTTGAACACTCAGCCAATAAAATTGATCGAGAGTTGGACCAAATTATAATGTATTCAACTTGATACACTCCTTGCTCTTTTAGTTGCAAGAAAATTGCCACCAGTTGCCGATGCTTTGGAAGACTAGTACCACAACTAAGAAACCAAAACATCTAAGATTATCCGTCATGTTCCCATTTCTAAATTGCAAATTTATAACCCCGAAACATTGACTATTAGACAATGGTAACTCAATTCAAAATAAGGACAAGTTTTTGACATCACAATTTAACTGAAAGAAGAGGAGTACATACTTTCTATTTTTCTAAAATGCTATGGTTAAGTACATCATGTACCTTTACAATAATTTTTAACCAAATCCTCATCAGAATGAATATCCAAAGATAAAAGCAGTGTTAAATTCCATAGCTTCGGCAAGTTACTTGGTCCTTGCCGAGATGAGAATCTCTCAAAATCCTAAAAATAGCAATTATGATAAAAACTGATAAAACAATAGAAAAGCAAAAGTTTGAAAATGATGAAATTTGGTGTTATTTGCTGAAATTTCCATATAGAACTCATGTAACATCTAATGATATTGTATCCACAAAAATGAAAAGTAAAACAAGAAAATGACTATAAATCAATTGTAACTATAATTGATTTAGTAAAAAATGAATCAAATATATAAGTCTAAATTGTAAAAGTAAAATTTACTCGAAATTTCTAGGCCAATGCCCCCCAATATTCGCACTTGGTGTCAATCTATGCCCCCCAACCCTTGTCAAAGCTTCCCTTATACAGCCCATATGAAAAACCCCAAACTAGATTTGGGTTTCCAGTTTAGATCTAGGAGACTCGAGCTCTTAGAAAGTTCAGATGAATAGTAAATCTGAATTTGAAATCTCTCAAATCCTAATTGTTTGTGTTTTCTTGTAAAAACAAGCCAATGGTTAGGTGAAGAACCCAAAAACAGGCTTAGGGATCAAATTCCATTGAAGATCGACCACCCATTGAGAAGAAATCACAATCTTTCAAAGTCGGGCAAACCCTTGGTTGAAATCTTTGAATTACCAAATCCACAGAATTACATTTTTCTGTCAAACCTAATATTTAATAGATAAATCAGGAAAAGATCAAGCTATAGACTAAATTTGGCTCAAAGGCACTCCCTAAGGCTCCAAAACTTTAAAATGAAGAAAAACAAAAGGGCCAATTTCTGCCCTACCCATTAAACTGCAATTTGTAGAATACTCAGGAGAGTACCATATGGACTCACTCAATTACTGTACAACTATGAAGTACTTATCCAAGTACGTATAGGGTACATATACATATGCTAAGGACGGATAACTCGCCTGAGTCCAAGTCGACTCTCACTAGATACACAATAGTCAGATGTTCAAGTAGAGTTCATTAAATATAATGACTGACTTTTCAAAAGGCAGTTTGCTCTGATAATCCGAATATACTAAATAAACAATGTCTTATGGTTCAATTATACAAAAGGTCTCCAAATCTGACAGAACCAGTGAATTTCCTTGTTCAACTTGGAACCAGTGGGTAACTCATCCAAATCCTTCCCTAAATCAAGACACGAACCTATTCGACCCCAAAATCATAACAAAAGATAATATAATAAAAGAATTGTGTTTTTAAAATCATTTGAAGTTTCTCAACCTTGATTGAATATTTTTTGTTTTTTTAAATCCCCGGGTCTTCTAATTTGGTAGTTCGACTTGAAACTGATGGGTGACGGGTTCAACACACCGGTCAGATTTTTAAACATTGATAAAGATTATACTACATGATAACAGTAACTTAATTGTTATTTATTATTATATATACACCATAACATAATCAATAAGATTATATGAAGGTATAGGAATGTAATTTTATGTTATTTAAGATTATTTGAAGGTATAGGAATGGGTAACATGTCAAATTGACAAGCATCTCAACAGAAACTCAGCATGCTCATAACTGTGCATCTCCATAAACAATGATGCTCATTATCAGATTCAATAACTAACACTACTTTTTGAGCAGCTGATAGAGTAATCACTGCTCTAAGGTTCTCAGTACATCACGGATGAACATAATTTATGCGATATTAGCAGTATTAAGACCAGATCAGACTGGGAACCAGACTTGGAAATGGTCTTGCCTGATCACTGAACCAGCAATAGGTCAAAACCTAGCACAACCAGCCAGTTCAACCAGATGGAATGGTTAAAACTAGTATTGACCAATTAAAGATTTAACCAGTTTTTATATTGTTTATTTTTTTATCTATATTTTTCAGGCCAGTCTTGACCGGTGAAGTAGCCGGTTTGACCGATTCAGATCATACTAGTGCACCCAAAAGTAGGATGACGGGTCCAGTCCTGATAACATTGTTTCATGGTGAAGCATCATTAAGGTACTACTTAGGCTTGGATGAACTACGGAGGTCAAATATAAGTGCATGCATCCATATCGATTAAGGTACTACTTGGGCTGGCTATTAGCTTTCATTCTCCTCAAGAAAACATGTAATATAATAGAGAAACTACCGATGAACTTCTTATGGGCCGATGAAGTAGAGAAAAAAGGTGTTCATCTATAAAATGGAGAACAGTGTGTCTCACTCAAGATGAAGGAGGTCTCGGGGTAAGGGAAATGGCGGATTTCAATATCGCAGGAATGGTGAAGTTAGTATGGAAGATTTTGGAAAATCCATCATCGTTGTTGACACGTTTCTTCAAACATTGATATTTTAGAAATTCTTCTATATGGGAGGTTGAAGGAAGAAGAGGATGGAAGGGGATTTTACTTGGCTTATTGCACTTGAAAGGCAATGTACAATGGAATATTGGTAATAGTCAGATCGTGGATTTCTGGGTGGATCCATGGTTAGTAGGTCAGTCACTATCGGATTTGCATGGTAATGACATTCAGGAGGATTTGGGGGCTGCTGCAGGGAGGAGGGTTTCAGACTTTACAGGAGGTGCACCTCAATCTTGGGTTTTGCCACCTCCAATATCTGATTTTTTAATAAATATATGGAGAGAGGTTGAGAACTATACTCTTCTTCTACATCACAAAAAGGATTCACTGATCCGGATTCAATCTGCTGATGGCCTATTTTCTATTAAAGGGGCATGGGACTTTATTAAGCATCATGGTTCATCACAACCTATTTTCCGTGCACTTTGGTCTTCTAAATCCCACGCATGGGCGAAATGGTTCTCATGTCTGGCCTTGCATAATCGATTGCCCACTTCATTTTTATTGCAGCAGTGGGGCACGCAGCTGGACTCTTTATGTCCCTTTTGTAGCAACCATGATGACAGCCTTTTCCATCTATTATTTCAATGTCCTTTTGCGCATGGTATATGGAGATCATTAGCTTGGAGATGTAAAAACGGTTTGTCCTCGGTACTTCTGTCTCTGATTTACTTAGGTGGTGGTTACTTTTCAAGTATAAATCTCATGGACTTCGGTATATTTGGTCTTCCATCTTTTTTACCGCTATTTGGTTTCTATGAGAAGAGCACAACAGAAGAGTCATTGAGTCAAGACCCACCAGGAGAGAGCTTATTGTGAAACGGATTACCTTACATGTTCAAGAACTAGCAGAAGTCAAAAAGTGGTCTCTCAATTTATCAGAAAAGGCCATTATTGGTAATCTTCAAATAACTTAGCATCAACAAAGGTTAGAATCCCTTATTCTGGTGACGTGGTCATTTCCCGAGGCTCAGAATTATAAGCTCAATATTGATGGTGCTTCCTTGATAAATCCAAGTTTAGCACGTAGTGGTGGAATCATCAGGAGCAGAGAAAGTGGTTTCATCGCTGCTTTTGCAAAGCCTTTTGGTTTTGCTTGCAACAACCATGCAGAATTCTTAGCACTTGAAGGAGTCCAGTTCGTTCATCAGAGGAATTGCTTTCCAATACAAATATAAAGTGATCCAACCCTGCTTGTGGATGTCATTCAAGATCGATGACATGCTCCATGACGGCTAAAGCGATTGCAAATAATTGTCATATTAGACTTTCTTCTCATCGATGGTCCATTGCACATGTTTTTCAAGAGGCAAATATGGTTGTTGATGCCCTCGCTAAGAGGGCATCTGCTGGCCCCGGTGCTACTGTGTGGCACCATAGACCACTAAATTTTCTTTCTTCTCTTTTATTACATGATATGGTGCAACTGCCCTTCTATAGGGTTGTATGATAATTGTTTTTCTCTGCTTTTTTATTAATGAAAATTAAGTAGGGGGACTTCTCCTCCATTGACTTACCCAAAACAACTTGATAAATGAATAGTTATAAATAAGCATTTAGGATAGTAAAGCATACCTCAGCACCAGAATCACTCTTCCGCTTCTTGCCTCGTAGTACTGTAAGAAAATATAACAGGAAAAAAAATTAGCACTTGTATAAAGCTATATTCCTGTGAGTTTGATGTCATGCAAAAACAACTAATCAAGACCATCCAACCAAGTCACCATATATTGCATGAGTACTACATTTTTTACAACAATAATCACGACATATATAATGAACACATTCATAAATTTATAAACAATGTCATCATCAAAGAAAACACTCGCTATAAAAAAATAGAAGTTTTTAGAGGGAAGATAAGGGTAGGAGGATAAAAAATTCCACCATTGAAAACTTTCAAAACTATAGATAAACCAAAAGAACCAATGATACATGGGTTCCTCACCCTAGGTCCATACCCACATACGGGACATTTCAACAGAAGGACAATAGATACGGCTTGAACATAGCTGCATTGTCCATGCCAAATAGTCTTGAAAATAAATCCTTGGAACACATAGAACCCTCAAATTCATGGGCCCTGATTCTTCTCATGAAGTGTAGGGATTCTTTCAAAAGAAAAATCCAGTAATAATCTATATTCTTTTAATTCACGTGATACTTCATTGAAGCCCTACCAAGGAGAAGGTTCGCCCCATTGAAATTTCAAGTTCCTCAAATCCTAATTACTCCTATATCTGCCACAACCAAACAGTTTTGAGTCCTTCGCTGAACTTTGCCTGATTCTTTATTCATTGTCATCTTTTGGGACCAGGAATTTTCATGCATCTGATACTTGGCAGTTTCATAGTTATAAGGATGTGAATATCATTTCTGTTCTTTTCCTTGGTATAGTTTTTGGCTTCAGTAAGATTATGGTCCATTCTTGTAATAGCTGTTTCACAGAATCCTACTTTTTAAGGCTTAAAGAACCCCTCACCTTAACCATGTCAGACACTGACACCCATATACCAGTCTCCATGGAACAAATATAAATTATGTTTCATATGTGTCTCACTCTGATACATGACTTTGTGCAGGATCATGTGAGCAATATGTACACAGGAAAATAGGGAACATAAATAGTTTCACGACTGCAAATTCAGTAACATACTAACAACATTATTTCTCATTCTAGCATTGCTTATAAATTGTCGCTTACAAAATTATTTCCAATTGCAAGAATATAAAAACAATTATGTTTTAGCATGAAACAATTCACAAAAAATAATTACATGGCATATCCACCATTCTTCCTAACCTGGAATTTGTAAATCTCAAACAATAAATTCAGCACGCATATTGGGAAAAATCAGCAGAGAAACTCGGGACTCAATTAAAATATTACAGAACACACATGTTATGAAACCCCTTTTTCAGAATTTTGGGCATATATTAATGTCTCAAAACCTAATATGCTAGAGAGTTTCAAGAATCATAAAAAGAAGTGATGGATAATATTTTCAAGACTTCCATAACAGATATCTAACTTAATAAAGATACATAAACATAATGCGCATGTGCTAAAATGGGGGCTTCAGGTAAGAAATCCAAATTCTTTTCATTTTTCTTCCACTTTTATATTCCAATCAAATAGAATGAAGCCAAAAATAACATTCTGACAAAGCCTATTTTAAATCTAGGTGGGTCGTGTCCTCTTGTTTCCTGGATTTTATTTAGTTCTCAACTTAGGTCACATGGCCGATAGAAGAAAAAAAGGGAAGTTGAGCACATCACACCTCCTTTGCTCAAAGCCAAGTATGGGGGTCACGATTCCTTTTTTCTCCATAATTATTAATATGTTTCTTTGGTTAGCCTGTGACAGCTGACATAAGCTCCCATTGATAACTCCATATGAGGCGAAGTGGTACACCCATGGGAACAGCGTAACCAAGCAGTGTATCAGGTGATAGAGGATCTGCAGTCTCCTTCGGACACACATCGCCATCTCCTCTTTCCTTCATGTCTCTACTTTGTCCTTATAATTTTATGCCAAATTTCTGATAAGGAAAAGGGTAATGTCTTAGGTCCATTCGTGCCACACAGAACTTATCCTATTTCGACATAAGAACATGCTGAACGAAAAGAGAGATCATACCTGGAGGAAAAAGGGAAATGGCACTTCTTGGATTTGATAAAGGATTCTCCCACAACCAGCAATAGAGAATGTTCACACAGTTCAACCCCTCTCGTACTCTAGAGTGGTTCTTAACACAGATAATGTGGAATCAACCAATATATATATATATATATATAAAACGAATAAAACACAACACTCTCAGCCATCCGAAACAGAACTCTTCATATAATGGTACTAGTAAAACTTAATCAAAGCCTCGAACATTTCAAAGACTGCAACTAGCTACCATCCACAAGGATCAAGTTGGCTTAAAAATGACGCCCTGGCAGAATGTCCTTCATAATGCACATAACACATCATATATCTAAGGGGTTTCCCACCACACATCACGAGCCCAAAGAATTTGCCAGACATTTCAATAGATCCAGAAACTAAAAAACCAAAAAACTGTAGAAAAGGAAACACCAGAAATACTGTTGGTCATTGACACGCACCAAGGGCTATCCAAGAACTAAGAAAATCCACTATACAGAAAAACAATTTAATCAAAGTCAGAGCAATCTCACACTAGGTAAATATTTCTTGAATTCCCTTAAAATGTGAAATATGATATTTAAGATTCCTTAGTTTCCAAAAGAAGAAAATCATTATTCCCATAAACAAGTTCCAACAACTCAGAGGCCCATGAGAATTGTATCTTATGTTCTTCTAGCTTCAATTTTTTTTGTAAGTTAAAAAATAATTTTACTTTTTATAATTCAGAGCACATCAAACAAACGATCGAATCCATTTTGCAATTTGAAGGAACGCTTTCAAAATAAACATCAAACAACTCAAGATCACTCTGATAAATGAATAAGGGTCAAGAGACAACAGAATTGCCCAAAAAATCTCAATCAGCGATCAAGAACCCCAATATAAATGGAGCATGAAAGGTTTTTTTTTAATTAATTGCCAACAATGAATTGATTTTTTTTCATTCAAGTGCTCCAGTTCAAGTGAACCCATGAAACACCACCATTATTTCGTTAAAGCAGATTGTCATTAACTGGTACAGTCATAATCCAACAAGATTTGCAGTCAATACTCTAGCCATCACCCAAGTTAAACTACATAATTCCCTCGTCGTACCTTATAAATATAAACAAAGAAATGGTTCCTCCCATAGTTACTGCAATCTTCCATCTAAGGGGGCACTCGTGCAGGATAATGCTCCTGAATGCGTCCCTGCCTTCCAAGTAACTCTTTCCATGGTTTTCGAGGTATAGGCCCCTCTCTCCTTTGGTGGGATCCATTCTTAGACTCACAAAATGCATCTGAAGATAAATTTCTGGGTTTTAGAAAATCTTCACTCTGACTGAATTTGAATGAGAACTCAATGATAAAAAAACTTAAGTTATATTTCAAAGTTTATCTTTTTAAAATAAGGTTTTTTTTTTTAAGATATTTATTTTTTAAATCTTTGGTTCTTGGTAATTCTTATGGCACTCTCCAATTAAGAAGCTTCTGGCAAACAATGATCATCCACCCCTAATCCTGTTCCCACTCCCAATGTCAATGGTTCTTCTTCCTATTCATGACGACCAGAGATTCCGAGTCCTATTGTGATCTAGGAAACACCAAATACTAGATGCAGGGACTGTAAGCATCTACTATAAGAAGAAATTTTGAGTATACTTTCCAATCTATGAGTGCAGCATTACATGTGAAGTTAGCCATGGGTGGTTGACAAAAGTAGCATCTTCAGGGATCAACAAATTGTACGAGTTCTGACATGCACAAGTCAATCAGTAAGGACCGTACTCCAGACAGGAATTTGAACTAAGCCTCTTTTAATTAGTCAAACTGGCAGTTGTTACTCACTCATGGGAGTACACCATGGTATTAACGAAATTTTCAGCCATTTTTTTCTGGTAAGCAGGATTTCACCTTAATACAGCCATCACATCATAACGGCCCCACCTGTTACATGGTATAACTATGACAGGAAAGATGACTAATGTGCTTGTCAAGCCTAAATAAAGGAACAATTTTTTAATACAAGGCTTTTACATAACAGTATAAAGCATGTTATATCGGGTACCAAAATTTACAAAATAACATGTATTCCATCCATAACACCAGTTCATTATTTTTCAGAAAAGATTGTTTCCTAAAAAATTCAATAATTGCTGAAGTAGAAATAATATCGCCCTTTTGAACAACTATAATGTCCATTACACAACCTAGAGTGATTGTAAAATCTATTAATTTTAAATAATGCTTATATTCAATATTTTAAAATATTAAACTACAATTTAATTTGTCCTAACTTTCTCCATTATGTACACTATAATGTTTGTTAACATAGCATATCCCAGCATATTATGGTATGTTATTACGGATTTTGAATCTGGGAAATGCATACGTTAAAACAAATGAAAAAAAAAAAATGACACAACAAGCATAGATTTATTTAAACACTAGGAGACCCATAAACAAGAACATCATTAATTTAATGGAAAATATCATTTAAGGGGTTGATACCCCTTACATCACTAAAAAGGTCAAATGATCGCAATTCACATTTCAGGGTTATGTTTCCTTTTTCATTTCACTCACGTACCTCCTCAAAAAAATTAAAAAGTTCCCAAATTGCTCTTGTTCATGATTAGGAAGGAGCAACAATCGAGGGCATTTCAATAATCGGACCTCCAAAAAGCCCCAAAAGAATGATGAAATACCCTGCTTCTTCAGGGTTACAAATAAAGAACACGTTATCCAGGATTAGTAATGAGGAACAACTGGGGGTATATTTTTCATTTGGCATCCAAATGCTTTGCATCCATCAAATGACAAAATACTCTAGTTGCTCCTCATTACTAATCTTGAGCAGTGTGTTCCTTATTTATAATGAGATGCATCTTTACTACAATTTTGCAAGAGAAAAAGATATCACACGCATTGAAATCACTTCTTTTTCTAGTTTTATATATTTAAAATGAATCTAGAAGCCTATCATTTAAACACTTATTTAGCTTCTATTTTCAATTTTCTAAATTCGCAATTCCCATCATTCCAAATTTAAGCAATCAGTTCAAAAAAATCTAAGGACCACCTTGTTTGTGCCTAACATCAATTTAACAATTATGCTACCTAAAGGTACAGGTAGAAGTACTTGGACTAGAAGAAGCTCAAAACTTAGTAAACTCCTACTTAACATGTTAGCTCCATGCATCTGAAGAATTTTATACAGTGGCCAAGCAACTAAGCTTGAAGTAATAATGTTTCTCACTCTTATTGCCAATATACTTGCTTGTGTAGGATGTCTGGGCGAGATCACATTGGCTTGGTAGCCCATGTGTGGGGGAGATCACATAGGTTTGGTAGCCCACAAGGATGATTAACACCCATTATAATTTCAATGGTATTTACAGGTTGTTATCACATCCAACAATTCAAGATACAACATTACCAGAAAAAAAAAACATAAAATGCCAACAAAAGCAAAGATACATGAATCTTATTCAGATTTTCATATTTGTTTTAGCCTTAGATACTTGCCTCTAAACTTCAAAACTTCAAAAAGTGGGTGGGCAAAAAGAGAGAGAAAAAATACTAATCATAATTAAAATATATTTAAAAAAAATGTTGATCAGGGACCTTCACTAGTTGGCATGTAATGGGCAAGAAGAAATCAATGCATGGTAAAATGTGGAGAGGAATTAGTTAGAATGTTTTGTAGGAACGATGGGGTATCAATAAGGAGTTAGGATAGGGGCAAGTAGCAGGTGGTTCCATACCCTGCCTAGTGGGACTGGCTCCATCTGTAACATGATTTTTTTAGAAGCATAGCTTTAAGAGCATGTGCTTAAGCAAATTTTCTTTTTTAACTTCTACTTTTAATTCACAATTCCCATCATTCGAAATATAAATATATTGTACAATCTCCAATATAATATTTTATGTTTCAGCTATGTGTGGACATATCACCCCATACTACATTATTAGGTTAACATGCCTGATACCAATGATAGGAGATTTGCACTGACATGAATCAGTGTCCATGCAACAAGATGACACAAGTCCTCGTCACTAAACTAATGCATAAACTAATAAGAAGCTGGAAAAATAGACCTAGGGTGCAGGTGATAATGACAAGAAACTAGAGCAATTCAGTGAGTCCTTATTATTCCTAAGAAAACATAACATGATACAGGCCCCAGTGACAAATAAACAAGCTTCTCATGCTCTGCATTCACTAAACTTTATTGTTAAAAATATTATGCACATTCAAGACGTAAGGTGTAACTTTTTCTTGATGACAATACTACAAATGAGTAGCCACAAAATAAAATGAAAAAAGGGTAAAATCTGTTTCTAAAGAAAGGAAAGTTGGTTGTGGGAAAAGACTATCAAGAGAATGTAAAAGTTATGATTTTGCAAAGTTCACTCTTTATACTTTTGATTTATCACCAAAAAATTATGGTTGAGTAAACCTACCTCAAAATTATGGTATGTAAAATATACAAAGATCTCAGGTGCACAAGTAACATCTTAAAGTCAAAAGCATTAAAGCACATGGTGACCTAAATAAACAAAGAGATACATAAATAAAATAGAAGGTATGATTCTAAAAGGCTGAAAAAATAGCAGCCTCTTTATTTTACACAAAATCACAGCTTCATTCCGTTATGTTTAAATGTAAGGATAATCTCCAATCAATAGATATCCAACATCATCACCACTAATTTCCCGAATGATTTGGGAAGCACATTAAACAAAAATACGTTGGGACAATTGCAGTATTGAGTCCCTTAAAATAGTTTAGATTATGTATAAACATTATGTATATACAGTACTCCTGAACAGTACTATGAACAGCGCCATCAACAGTAACACGAACAGTATAAAGTGTCAAAACTAGAGAAGAGAGGGGAAAAGAAAGAGAAATGAGAGAAAAGATGAAAGAGAAGAGAGGAGAGAGTGACATGAGATTCAATCACCCCATGCCCCACTAATATCTTTGTTATAAAGTTTGTTTAGGGTTTACAGACGACAAAAATATCCTCAATGAAAAATAAGCGTCCTAAAGTATATAAAAAAGACAGAATACATTAAAGTTATTCTTTAACAGTATGGAAGCATACCCTGCAATACAAACATAAAGAATTTGCATCAAGCAGAATAAAAATGATCCAAATCCGGACGCATCATATTTAGTGGAACTTTCGTCAAAGTTTCATGTTTCTTTCCAAATGTTTATTGCTTTGTCCAGATGCAACTGGAAATAGTAACATGCATCAGAATCATGAGAAAATGTGACCATTACATTCTAGTTTTCCAAGATCAAGAAAAAGAAGAATGCTGTGTGATCTCACCATTAGTTTTCGTGTCCTCTTTTTCCACTTTAGCATCTGCATTACCAGTGAGACTGCAAGTAAGCCCCTTCAGAATGGAATCAAGAAATACTCTAAATAATAATCTATTGCTAAAGAAAAGAGGGAAAAATACTGATTATTATAAGAAATCCTAAAGCTTAGGAAATCTTTCCTAAGCTAAGGAAAACTAATAAGGTCCATTCGAATTAAATACACGAAATCTTTTCAAAGTCTCAACGGATGCCATATCAAGTAAAAGAATATTGTCTAGTGAGCATTTGCAGGCCATACACTAATAAAAAAGAAAAATCTGTAAACCATACAAAAAAAATTGATCGTATCAAAAATAGCCAATACATGTGCAATAGCAATAGAGAACTGAGAGAAAATCAAACAGGTAATCAGCTTAAAAATATTATGATTTTAGGTGGCATATTGTAAACCCTTGGACTTCACAAGGAACTTTATCTGTTCCCATGTCAACTCAGGAATTATATTCTTACAAAAATAGAAAAGGACTTGAAATTGTTTAGCTTGATTTTCCTTTTAAAAAATTTTTAACTTAAAAAACTTAGATTTCTAACACATTCCATTGTTTTTATTTTGTTCAGTTCATTTCTCGCATCATACAATTTAATTAACGAAATTATACAACAACATTTGAATTTTTTTTTCTTTTTTCTGGGGATGGGAAGGTCGGGGGTGCTCTTCTTTTTTCAAATGAAAATTATGAATTTCAAATTGTTTATCAAAGATTGTATTTTTCATGTTCCCTCCATGCCTCGATAAACTATGAAAACCCTGGGTCATTTGCCCTGGAAAAGGACTAAGGTAGGAGAATGCTACGGTAGAAAATTGATATAAAAGGTTCTTCTGAAGCATTTCCCATCTTCCCTTGGATAAGAAAACCAATGATATCAGGGCAGGACTGCTAAACAAACCATTGAGGCTACCAATCTGACCCAAGCTGGTGGGATCAGCCAGTTCACTGGTCAGACCGATCTTAAAAAATAAATGAGAAGAAAACATAAAATATATAATAACTAGTCAAAACTGGGTACAAGTTCAACCAGTCAAATAGGCAAGTAAAAACAGTCAAAGTGTTGAGCTAGCCAGTCCAAACCGGGTTAGTCTGGTTCTGAGTCTTCTGATCAATCTGCTGGTTATGTAAAACAGATGGGACTGGCTACAGGTGCAATTCCTGGTCCAGCCAGTCAGACTGGCCAGTCCAGTTAGGTCTTAAATAACATCAAAGAAAACATTTCCATATATACACAGCAAATCCAGAATATAACCACCTATTAGCAACCTCAAGTATATCTTATCTTCAGATATGCAAATTGCAGAATATTAGATATGAAAATTGCAGAATAGTAGAACCATTTCAGAATAGTAGAACCATTTCTGGAGTACAATCTGAGATACATCATGTAATCCGATGTAAACTTCAGTCTTGATTCTAAGTACTATTTTCTCCACATATTGTCAAAAGGAAAAGCAGAAAATTGACAGAAAACCGACCACAATTCACATTGGTATAAACCAACCACAAGTCACATGGGTCATATATAATTGTTTAAAAAATAGTCAGAAAATGCATACCATTTAAAGTAGATAAGTTTGAGATTGTCTGATTCTAAACAATAAATGAATGACTCTAAGTCATAAATGAAGGAACTTACCAGTAGAGCTTTTTGGTTTAGATTGTGCCGCACGCCCTAACTTAATATTCTTATCTGTACTCTTATTTTTCAACAACTCCTGCTGCCTTTGGACATTCTCTTCATTGATCTTCAATAAACGATCCGCTGTGACCCATTCATCCCAGCTGTTGAACATAAAACGTTTCAAAGCCCAAACTTTGCTCCCCTTGCTCACACATGAATCAGATAGGAGATTATGCTTTTGCAGATACAGCAGCATACAGTTACGATGTGCAAAGCCAAGCTAAGACAAAAAAATCTAGTTAACCCGGTTGTCTTAAGAAACAAATCACATTTCCAGGTTCAAGGTAGCATTACTCATGATCTGACACCAAGCTTATGTGAAGGAGCTTGAAGGTGTGGAGTTTGTCCCTCATGCAAACCATGACTATCTACAGAGGGGAAAAAGGTCTTCCAACAAAGATGACAGGATCAAGAAATTATACAATACTGCTTAATAAATTGAAACTTGCTTACTGGAAAACATAATAATGGAAGAAAAATAATTTCTACTCTATGGTGGCTATTATTCCCTTATGGTGAAACTGCCTAACTCATGAGCAACTGCCATGCAGAGAGTATTTGCTAACAAGGCCAACAAGATTGTATGTTCAAAGGAACCATATACTAATTCTTGTAGTGTGTATATTGAGGCCTACTTAGACCGGCCATCCACCATCCATACTTATGAACAGAGAGTGGAGGGCAGCTGCAGTTCTCCCAGTAGACTTAATAAAAGCGGGATAGCAGCTCATGTCACCATCTGTTGATAAGTAAGTATGGCATAGCTGATTTGACTATCCCACACCATGAGCGCTTCAAGTAATTGATCAGTTTTCTTGTTCAAAACAACATCATTTCTTCTTCTAAATACCAAAGTACGCTTTGCTGCTTAAAGCGGAGGGAAACTATATGCAACACGTATGTCGGAACTAAAAACTCAAAACCGTGTGGAATCTTATAAATAATTATTAACCATCTCCTCTCCAATCTATGAACTTTGAGCAAGTTCCCCACCATCTATCTCTGAGGTCATTGTAATCAATGAAATATTTTCAACAGACTTTTGTTGATTCAAAGTGCTGATGACATTAAACACATGGAACATGAGTAAAGAAATACGAATATAAAGGAAGCACATGGAATAATGTTTAGCAAGGTGGATTAGAATGTGAACAAGCAAACAGCACCAGGACGATCAAGATAAAGAACAAAGGAACAGGCAGGTAATACCAATTACATATTTCTAGTGGCTATAAATCTTAACAACAGAATGCAGAAAATGGAGTAAGAGCATCAAACTTCTACAAAATCAACCAAATGTTCAAACCAATCATTCTACTTCAAGTCCTGAAGATCTAAAATGTACAGGGGTAGCATGGCTTTTCTTTTCATGGCAGATGCATATACAGGTATTCTGTGATGTGTAAATAAGTAAGAGACTCAAAGTCAAAACTACTCACATTTGATTTCATCATACGTAAGAAAAAAGGTATTTGGCCCATCAAGAGAAAACAAAATGCTCACTTCAAAGCATAAATGAATTTCAAACACAGAATTTCACTGGATACGATGCCAAGCATGTGATGTAAGGACTACTCACTTTTTGTTCCACCCCTGAAATGAAAATGATATCATGTTACAAAGAACTCCAAAAGAAAATGGATATATCATACAAACTTCTGCACGCACTTCACTAAATCAAAGCATACAATCATCAACTTCACCAAGCAAAAGACCAACAAAAATAAGGATAAATGCAAACTGGAAAAATCAAAACATTCATAAAACAAGTAAAACAGCATCTAATGCAATAGGCGATACTCACAAGATAGTGAACGAAGTATTTCCATTCTTTCTTCCGAACCTCAGCTCTTTGAACCTAAAGAATGTAATACTGAATTAGACGCAAACCAAGCATCAAACTTTTCAGAAAAAAACAAATGTATACAATATGGAACGGAAAGGAACATGAAGGAAAGCAAAATAAGTAAATAGAATCAAGCAATTGAGTATTTGCGACCAAGTCCCCACTCCCCAGGCCTTTGGTCCAATGGTATGGTTTGCAGGAGAGAGGTCTAACATCGCTCGTGCAAACCGAGTTGGCCTACCTAAAACCGATATAGAAAGAGTATCAGAGATCATATTCAACTGAAATATAGAGTTCTTAATGAAGATGAACATTTCCGAATGAAGACACATCTCCTAGGTGAACAAACTAAATTGCTTTTAAATGTATGTCTCCTAATAAAGACATGTCTCCTAGGCCATCTAGGAATCCATGTAGGTAGCTAGGCACCAGGCGAGCACCGAGATGGAGCACTGGGAGCCTAGGCAAGAACCTTTTTACATGGCCAGATTAGGCAGGCACCTAGGCCACTTCAATTCAGTGGGGAGCCTCAATGGCCCAGACAGAGAGGTGCCAGAATTCTAATACATTGGTAGCAATTCAACAAAGTAGAGGGAGGGAGTGAATAATCCTTGTCGGTTTAAGGTTAAACCCCTTTTGCATCATGAAAACCAAGGCAAGTGAATGAGAATTATGGAAGCCAACTCCAAAGATCATCCACTCTTGGAATATAATCCAATCTCTACACAAATAGGAGTCCTTACCCACTTTCATAACGCTAGATCCTTGAACTCTCTTGCCATTTATTTGCACATGTCAAATCTACATGTATTGTTTGGCACTATCTTTAACACATCTATACGCATGAGCATCACACTTGATTTTAAAAAAAGCAAGCTAACACAGGTACAAGCACGCAAATGAGTATTAGTTTATTGAATACAGATATGTATGGAAGCCACACATCCTCAGGTAGAGAAACTTAATCCAATAAGCAACCATGACATATACAACATGCAACTGTGGCATATGTATATCATGCGTATATATGCGTATATGTTACATGCATATGTACAAGAGAACATTCACCCCTAGACTTAACCCACAAGGCAAGTAAATAATATGACGAAACTACCCGTGACAGTTTTCTAGAATTCTGCAGGCTATGCCAATTATTTTAAGGGAAGAGAAGGATAATATTGTCATTTTACAACTGCTCACAACCTCCCTAGTCTTAAGAACTAAGCAAATACATAAAATTCTGCTTTTCTGGATCTTTCATTCACGCATGCACATGTATCTTCGTGTTTTCAAAAAGGCAAGCTTTCCCAGGGCATGCAAAGGCAGCACTCATGTCCAACCTTTTTTTTTGCTGTGTGACATTTCCAAAGTGAATTCGCTTTTGAACTAGCTTTAATCATGACAAATCATTACGTGCCTAAGGTACACCATCATCTAGCCAGCGTATTTTACAAGGTCCTCCATTGGAGATTCAGTAACGTAGGGAGCGAATCCCAACAATAAGAAGCCCACATATCATGACAACAACAAGAAACAATGAGAACGTCAGACCAAAAGGAAGAAAATAAATGCACCATATCCAAACAATCATACAAGGGAAATACAAAATTTCCCCAAGCAGAAATAGATGCAAACAAGCAATGTAAGAGATGAATTAACGAAGTGGAAATTCTTGAGTTTATGAAGTTTCCTCAACAGTGCCCATCAAAGAATTAAATTAAGTATGAATATTCCCATTATTAAAATTCATTGGACTACATGCATATGTAACTAATATAATGAAGATGAAGGCAAGTGCTACCCCAGCCCATCCATTGAAGCACCCAATTCAAATAACCTGTACACCAGTTGAACATAAGAATGACAGGCGCAATAAGGAGGAAGCAGAACAGCATGTGAGCAGAAAGCTGCATCACAATCCCACATTGTGTTGAGTTACAACTCTTTCCTTCCTTTAGACACAATTAAATATATAATCAAACACAACATTTACTGCCATATTGCATAGTGCATTACAAACATAACACATAAAACTGAACTGGGGAACCTAAAGATAAAGGAAATCAATGCAAATCACGCAAAATGTCTAGCCTCCCACCCCAACCAAGCCATTTCATCTGCCTTCCCTCCAATCCAAATTTGTGTCTTCACACCGATAATATTTTGGCTGGATACTAGCTTTGCCAAATTGAGATTCCATGGTTTCAAACTACTCATGACATAGTCTCTCTATGAAATTCAAGTACTGTGATCCCCTAGAAAACACTAAATGAATCCTCTAAAATGTGAGCATTCTTCCATTTAAAATTCTCCAAAGTATAGCAGGACACAAGTCCATAACAACAAATGATTCCACTGAACTTAAATCCATACCTCTAAAGAAAACAACAACTCAACTCAAGATCAGGCCACTCTGTGCTAAAAAGGTTAATAATTCTGCAACACTCCAAGGAAGGTCAAACAGTACATCTAGATGATCTTAAGCTCTATAAATTCTATATAAAGATGTTTAAAATGGTAACTGCCGAAGTTAATCCTTGCATGCTATGGCCCCATGGAATAGCATTCAAAAAACACATCTAGTACACTACAACTCAAAGCAAAACCAAGTAAGGCCACCACAAAAGCTACATATGATATACACTCTATTTTCCATGTCAAGGCTATTCTAAGGTATCCCATTAACTGCTTTGGATGCTTATCACATTAGACCAAATATGTCAAACATTGCATGCACTGGGAAGGTGGCATGAATACAATCTTAGCTTCAAAGATCCAAGGCGCCCGGGAGGGTTTAGGGTGTCACGTGCTTAAGCAGCAACCCAAAACCTCAGGGACCCTGAAGTGTCAAATATACATATATATGCATATATGTGCTGTCCAAACGCACATATTTGAAAATACATGCGTCAAATATATATATTTATGCATTTAAATGTAGCCTAACTTTTTTATGCAAATATACGTACATGAATGTTAAAACACATTCAAATCATTGAAAATTTTGACTCTTTGAACAAACTGAAATAGTGAAAAACAAAAACAAGTCCTTAGAGTATTAGTGATTTAGTGTCCATAATTCATACAATCATACTCATAGACTCCAAGTCTCCAATAAGACCAAATGACCTATACAAAATGATGCAATACAAAAGAAAAGAAAGACATCTTTAATTATTCGTATCACTGATTCAAAGTTCAATCATCAACTTCATTCTTCACAATCTTCATCCCTAGCACCTCCATATGAGTCAAGGCCATCATCAACAAAATCATGACCCTCTTCAAGATATTGGTCCTCCTCCTCCTCTATCTCCCTCATCCTCTATGAAGTACCAACAGTAATTGTTGATCTAGTAGCCGTCCTAGGGTCAAAAGTTGGATCTGAAGCCTCCTCAACTATATTCCAGGTCGAACCCTCCACAGGGAAGACCTCTTTAGTCCAATGGTCTCCAATCAAACACTCACCAACATTCCTCATATCCTTGGAAGGGATTGGGATCCTCTCACGCTAGTTAAACTTGTCCTATAGCCTCTAATTACATCTAACAAATACCAATTCACTGAGACTTCTTTGGTCAAGCCTATTCCTTCCTTTACATGCATCTATAAGAAAAAATGCCTGAGCACTACATGAACTATCTAGAACTTTAAATTCAGACTTAGAGAGAACTAAAAAGTCAAGGGAAATTTATTTAAATACCCATGAGAGATGCACTATTTACATTTTACACATTTGCAACTATTCCAAGTCATGATCATGCGTCTTTTGATGGGCATTTTTAAATTAAATCAAACTATATGGGTAAAATGTTAAATAGTTGTCTCTCATAGGTATTTTGATTAATTCCCCAGAAGTCAAAGTATAGTCAATACTATAGCTTCTATAATTAGAATAAAAATGTAATTTGTAAATAAGAAAACAACCAAATATACCAACTCAAACAAACTCTAATTTCACTCACAACCAGAAGACCTCAGAGTTAAAACCCAAGATCGGTATAGACATCCTTTGGAGGTTTGCAGCACCACTCATGTACTGGCTCCAACATTAAACTGCAAATTGAGTGCAATCTCTATAATTAATTTAAATCTATTATAAATCATTTCTATATTTATTAGAACATTTAAATCTAACATAAACTTGTAAGGTTTAAGTAACTTAAACTTGAGAAAAAAAAATGCAAATGAAATATATTATCTAGATCAGGTTTGGTCCTTTTCCTTACCACCATTACCTTCCCAAATGACTTCACTGCACATTTGTACAAGATCAATTCCTCGGCAGATATCCTATCTTGGATATTTGGCTCAGGATCAAGTCTCTCAAGACACTCATGGAATCCATCCAAAATTGTGTCCCCACTCTCAATTTATCCCTACTCTCAATTTCTAGGCCAGCATCTAAAAGTTTCAGGTTTAAATAGTACCCAGTTGTATACAACGGTCTATAAAGCTGCCTTTCCCACCCAGTTGTATACAATGATCTATGAAGCTGCCTTTCCCAATTTCCATCTATGATCTCCCAAATTAGCCTATACTTTACCTCATCATAGCCCAAAGCCTCAGCTGTCTCCTTCTTAACTCCATCTAGAGCATCATATATAAAGTCCATAGAGGGCACATTACTATCAGCCAAATGCAAGACCTGGACTAAGGGTAGAAATATATCAAAAAACTTTGTAGAGAATAAAATCACGGGCCCTCTTCCCTTCATGATCTTTAGACCACCTGCATCAACTCCAACCCTTTAAAGTGAATACAGATCTCAACAGGGTCCTCCAGTCACACATGCTCTATAGTCTCAAGTAAGCAGTAGCAAATCTGGTGAACCCAAGCCTCACTAGATCCTTCTTTTTTGTGAACTTGCGCTATATGCTAAGAGAATTGGTGTTCACATACATAGCCCTAGAAAATGTCCTTTTTACACTTGGAATCTCGCCAATAGCCTCAAGCATGAGGTCTATGCAATGAGTGCCACGCAAGGTTCCTAAAATATACGAAGCCTCTTCTGGAAATGAAAATAAGCAGTAGCAAAATTAGGAGCAGCATTAACTATGATAACTTGGATTACATATTCCTGTCCAACTCCTTAATGTCCTTATCAATCAAAGATAATATGTACATCATGAACATCTTGAAAAGCATCAATAGGTCTCAAAAATATTGTACCTAAAGGACAGTTCACTAACAAACTCAGGACACTCCTGTCACCCCATGAATCTGTCATAATAGACACCCCAAACTGAGTCCACCCATCTCTAGCCCCGAGTTGTATGTACAACTCGGGGTACAAAAAAAGGGTGCGGTTTGTATAGAACTGAGGCTCTAAACAATCAAAGTAAAGCACACTTTCAAACAGCATTGAGAAATGCGGTTTCAATATTGGAAATCTTTGTGATAGCCTTAAAATATATTTTCATATTAAATTATAAAATTTAAAGCTTCAAAAATAGTGTAGATCAAGCAGATCTATGAAAACTTGAAAATCTTAGAAATTGACAGTCCAAAAATCCGATACAAGATACGCTATTTCCAAAACTTGAAGTCCATTTTTTTTCTCATGTCCATGCATCTTGATGTTGAGATGATCAATTTGAGGATATTTGGGCATCAAAACAACCTCTTCTAGTGAAATTTTTTATTTGGGCTCTAATTTGATTGTTTAGGGCCTCGGCACTATATAAACTTTTTCCCCAAAAAAATAAACAAAAAAAATCCCAACGATAGTAAAAAATAGGGGAATGTTGTGTAATTTTTTGTATATAATTTGGATATGTTTGGCAAAGGTTGATGAGTGTTTTATGCCATAATATCCATTTTTATATTTTCCTTTTTGGATTTTTTTAATAACCCCATTTATAAATCCATTCTTTTTTAGTTGTAATTTTTTTATACTTCTTTAAGCTTATTTGGACTTTTAAAGTTTGATTTTCGTTTTATTTTACTTTACCAAATTTATTTTATTTTTCATATTTTAAAATTTTTCTAAGGCTTTTTTCACTGTACAGGACTCGAGCAAGTCACTCGGATTTGCCCGAGTAACTCACCTCGGCCAAAGACTAAGTACCTAGGCCGAGTCGAGTAACACTGCCCTAGAAATTACACCTCACAATTCTCAGAAGTCAGAACAAATCACCATAAAATTAACCTGACCAGGTTAAGAATTAGGTCATGAAATGTTCATATTATCTGTAAAAGAACATAGACGGCCAAGCCCTGCATGCTCGGGGGTAAAATCTTCAAGCACGAGTTGATATTAGAAATCAAAATATAAAAAAAAAAAAAGGACCCAATGAAAAGCAACAAAATTGAAGAATATCAATACGACGACACAAATAAAATAAGATAAATCCATCAATTTCCCAATAAAATGAAGACTAGAGAAACGAATTCATCAATGGAAGCAAGCAATAATATACACGAAGAATTGAACGAGCAACAGAAGAGAGAGAGAGAGACCTTGGCCTCGTAGATGAGGGGGCCGTGATAAGCGAGGACCTTTTCACCTTCGGAGAAGACACGCGCCTCTGAAAGGGGAGGTTCTTCCCCGCTGCCCTCTGCGCTCTCCTCTTTCCCACCAGTGTTCGAGCTTCCCATTCTCTCTCTGCAATGGGGTTTCTCCCCTCTTTTTGACTTCTCGCTTTGCCGCCACACCCCCGCTAGAACTTTTCCCTTACTCTTGATTTCTCCGAAATTTTGCGCGTGCTCGCCCTCCCTAATGTAGGTTTCATTTTACATTCATAACTTAAATAACAAAATATAAAAAAAAACAAAAATTCCATAAATACTGAGATCCAATGTCATAGCTTTTAAAAGAAGAAAAAAGTTTATATCGAGCCGAGGCTTTAAACAATCAAATTATAGCCTACCTCAAAAAATTTACTAGAAGTTGTTTTGATGCTTAAATACCTTCAAATTGATCATTATGGACATGGGAAAAAAAATAGATTTAAAGTTTTGAAAATAGTGTATCTTGTAATACATTTTTTGGACGATCAATTTTCAAGATTTTCAAGTTTTTATATGCTCGATCTACATTATTTTTTAAGTTTTGAATTTTATAATTAAAAATAAAAATATATTTTAAGCCTATCACAAAAATTTTCACTATTAAAACCACATTTCTCAACATTATTTGAAGGTGTGTTTTACTTTAATTGTTTGGAACGTCGGCTCTACACTAACCTCACCTTAAAAGAAATGTCTTGCGCATCTAAAAATGTTTGATTGTTTAGAGCGTCGGCACTATACAAACAGCACCCTTAAAAGAAATGTGTTACACATCTAAAAATGTTTTAAGTTACAAACTTGAGGACTTCAAAATCCCTAGTTATTTGAGCTCATATTTTGTATTGGCTCCGAGGTCATGAGGTTTCCTTTAAGATTTAAATCATGGCTTTCGATGGTTCAAAATCATAATTATAAGAAATTGCTTTGATCTTAAAGATCTAAAGTCATCAAATTATTGTTGGGTTTATGTGGCTTTTAAAAGTTTTATAAGAGCTTGTATTAGCATTTCATATAGTGGAACATAAACTCAGTGAGAGTATGGTCTTTTTGTGGATCATATTAAGCAAATGTTATTTGTTGATACTCAGACTAGGCTCGACGAGGTAGGCTAGCCGAGGTTTGGAAAAACCCAAGATATCTGGGCATAGGGATGTACCGAGAAGGGTTTAGTGGATTATCCCTTGATGAGGTCGGAGTACACCCAGATGAAAGCTAAAGGACTGTGTGGCCCTTGCGTGTGATGAATAGCATTTAGAGATAGGGTTAAAACATCATTGTTATATCATCACACGGCATATACATAGATAGTCGTTTTGAGATTTACCAATGAAAGTGAAGCGTGTACATAGGGTTATGGGAACCGCTGGGTTAGTTTAAGAAAGCTAGGCGGATCGTAATTCACAGTTGAAGGTGGAGTGCTCCCATGTCTTAATAATTTCCTAGATCTAACGGATCCGATTCCCATCAAAATTAATTAATTTTATATTATGTGATTTTTAGAATGTTTATTTGAATTTTTTTAAATCTTCTGATATTTTATTTTTGTCATTTGAATTTATAAATGAAGATAAATTAATTTTTCAATGTTTTAAATAAAATATTATATTTTTTAAAAAATAAAATAAATTAAATATGAAATAAAATATTTTCTAAAATATTTGAGACCTATACAAAATATAGGGCTCAAAATTTAAAAGGATGTGGATTAGGTGGGGCCCACACATGGCCACCAAAAGGGTGGCACACCTCCACCCACCCACGTAACATTCTTTGAATATTTGAAATATTTACTAATTATTTGAATCAAGATTGATTGGTCAAATAAATAAGGATTTGATATATTGAAATATAAGCTTTCTCTATTTGATTGGAATAGATTTAGAACATAGATGATAAAGCTCTAGCTCATCTATTTGAATCTTCATGGTGGATCAAAAAGATTGATAACTCAAATCTCTTACCCCACGAATATCCTTAGATCGACGGTTGAGATTTGACCCTACGAATTGAAGCAAAATCTATGGCATAGAAAATATATAAAATGAAATGTTCCCTCAATGAAATATGTATTATTTTTTCTCTCTTTAATAATTCTCTCTCCCTACCAAAAATTCCATTCTCTTCCAAAGGGAAGCATGCCCCAATTTTATCTCTTTCTAAGTTGTACTATGTTGTGGTGGCATGCACCACTTCTATTCTATGTCGGTGGGGGTGGAACACCTTGCTAGTAGATCTCTCCCTCTTTTTTTTATATTCATCTCTCATCTCTTTAAAATCAAGTTAAGAGGCTTGATGAAGATTAAGTCATTGAGTGGATTTTAACCATAGTAGCAAAATCAATATACCGATCATAAATCGCAAGCACCATAGGAGAATCGACGTGGGGTGTATTAAGCCCAGTTGAGGTAATCCCTAGCAATTTTACTTTTTTAAAATATTTACTTCTCTTCCCATAAAGCAATAAATTCTAGTTTTGTTTCTTGAATAAATAATTGTATTTGAAGACGCAGCAATTGAAAACCGATTTTATTTTTATTTTATTTATTTCAAGAGTGGTTTGATTAGAATTGGACATTGTAAGTGATCTTGCCAGTGTAGGGGTAAATAAATTTTTAAATATATATATTGTGTGCTTTATCATAAAGTTCATTCAATTATGACTTATAATATTGAAGGTTCGAAGTCGGGGTATTTTAGAAAACAACAAAAATTTATTTTTTTAAAAAAAGGGGGAAATAAATGTGAAATACAATATATGAAAGGGATTGTTTAATAATGTAGGGAACATGAGCATAAGTTTCTCTAAGTTCTCCTGGATTTTAGAACCTGGATAGTCCCAAATCAGCCCTCCGAATGTTCGATCTACATCAAGGATTCTCCTAGTCAAATATCAAAGATTTAAAAACTTGTTACAAAATAAAATTAGTAGGAATCAAGCAAAATTAGTTTCATAATTGTACTCGCCCTCCCACCACTAAACCCAATCCAAAATCGCGTACCACTAAGCCCAATCCAAATTCGCCCACCACTAAACCCAATCCAAACTCGTTGATTCCAATCGGATCGTTGATTTTTAAATGCCTGATTACCTGATTTGTATTATGTATTGCTCGTAATATTTTTTATAAATGCACTGATGGGTTCCACAATTGGGTGTCTCTAAATGAATAAATGCATGCCTCCTTTAGTAATCGAGTAACAATTGATTGTGGTGTTCTCATTTGCAATAATAATAGGCTATATTTGATAAAATCGAGTAGTTAGGGATGTGTCATTGATTTGGCACAAAATCCATAGGGTTGCAGCCTTATAAAACATAATTAAAGCCTCACCTCATAACTCATTGAAAATCGCAATTCAAGCATTGAAAAACCTTTACATCAATCATCTCAGCTTGAACATTATGGTTGTAAAAAAATTTTAGTCTTCAAGCTATAAAAATAGTGTATATTGTAACAAATTATCTAGACTGTTAACTTTACCCTAAAAAATTGTTCACAGATCTGCAACATTTGTACATTTTTTTAGTTTCAAATATTATTTCAGTGATGGAAATTGATTTTAGAGCCATAATCGAGATTTTCGTTGTCAAAAGTGCTCTCCGGATGAAGATTTAAGGTGGGGTTTTACTTTGTTTTCGTAAAGCCTAGGCCTTAAAAAAACTTCATTCAATGAAATTTTCTTGAATGCTGTGATGATTTTACATCCAAGGGGTAAAAAGTGATTGTGACCATGCGGTACCAAAAGTGAGAGGGTGAGGCTTTAGTTTGTTTTCATAAAACTTAGGGCTTAAAGAAACTTCATCCAATAAAATTTTCGTGAAGGTTGTGATGCAAGAAACTTCATCCAATAAAATTTTCGTGAAGGTTGTAATGCATTTCAATGTAATGATTTTACATCCAATAGATAAAAAATGATGCAATTTTTTTGAATGTTGTGATGCATTTCAATGTAATGATTTTACATCCAATAGGTAAACGTGGTACCAAAAGTGAATGTGCTTCTCTTCAATTATTGGTAAACATGAATAACATTGGTATTGTATGCAATCTTTCAGATTTAGCATTAGATTTTATTTTATTTCGAGTGAGTTAATAAGGAGAGGGCCGTACTTTGGTAGAAATTGAGCTTAGGATGTAATGTTGCAAATTGTTGAGTGCTACCTAGTTAAGCCCGGGCTCTTTTTCTAAACATTAGAACTTAATTGTATTGGTTTAGTTATGGAAAGTGATTATGGACTTCTAGGACTGATCAACAACAAATACAGTTTTCGAACAGCAAAACAATAAAAGCCAAGGGTTTTCCGAAACTCTTAAATGCCAAAGGGCAGCCCAAAAGTAGCTAACATGGAGCGCTCATGAGGTTTGAGGTTCCTACCTTAGAACCAGATAGAGGCGGCAATAGGTCGGATCATATTCGGGTCCGGCTGGACCCAAAAAAATGATATGGGGCCCGGATTGAATTCATCGAAACTAGACACAAACCCAAAATTATAATGTGGGACCTTAACCCAACTTAAAAATTAATATACCAATATATTTAATTATATTTCATAAATTGGTACTCAAAAAATACTAATAGACTTGGACCCGGACCGAATAGTGTTCGGAGTCAAGACTTGGACCTTGATCCAACCCGTCGGGTTGAATTTTTTGACCATATCTGGGCCCGAACCTAGATTGGATCTACCCCAGGAGTCTCAGGTTCTAGGTCGGGTTTGGGTCCTGGTCTATTGTCACCCTAAAACAATAGGCAATTTCAGAGAAAAAATAAAAAAGTATAACGTCAAAATAAATTACCCAAATAAATAGGCCTTTTTAAATTCTAAAATATAAATAGTCCTCACATAAATTTCTCTAAATTCTTTTCCCTATTATTAAACTCCCCTCCTTGAAGTTGAATAATTTCTATACTCCACCTAAAAAATTATACAATGGTTACCTTTCACGTAAATCTTCCCATCACACCGATGCAAAACAATAAAAGTTAATCTCGTTGCGCATAACTACCAAAATTAAAAGAAGAGAAGCATAATTCCTTCCAATATTATTGAAGTAGATAATACCATTGAATCAGAAAGCCGGACTAATTTAGCCCATAAAAGTTGCCTTGACATGAGGCCCCTTCCATTTCAATCTAAAGGACATCTCTCTCTTTTCTTTCTCTGAATTTTGAAGCACATATCTCTCTTTCTTTATTTTTTATG